CTTAAAGGTACAAATACATACATATATTTTATTATATCCTGTTACGTAGGTTGTAGAAAATTTTATAAAATAAAATTTAATTTTCCCTGTAAATGCGCAAAGATTTATCAAATGTATTTGTAGTTTATTGTGATTCTATTTGAGATTACCGTTCTGCCATGGGTTCTGTCAGTCACTTTGATGAATAAAAAGTTTCAAAATTTAGAATTATATTTATTTGAGAATTTTAATCTATTGAAGGAAAAGCACGAAAATTTAATAATTCAATATAAATTTTGGATGAAATATTGTAAGTTTTCCATCTGGGATCAAATTTATTGCTTTGGTTGTTGTTTTTAGTAAACCTGAGTGTGTACTGTACATGTGTGAAAATTAAAAGAAAAATATATTAAAAAAATTGTTATAGAAAAAAGCAAATTTTAAAAAATATAGAAAAAAATTTTATCAACACACTTGTAATGCAGTATAGCCGACGTGAGTAACACATTGTAAGTACAATTTTGAAATAAAAATTTCGAAAATGTTTAAAGCTCCTAATTCCCTCTAAAAACCACAAATAATATAAAATAGCATTAACTCTTGACAAAGTATTGGAAAAGAAAAAAGTATAATTAAGAATATTTAAATTTATGGGCTTTTATTATAAAAAATTATGTTGAAATCAAATTATTTGTTTTTAATATAAATCTTAGAAAACATTAGAAAATAGTAAGGCAGTAATAGGAGTTGTCAAAGGAGCAGCAAAGGAAATTAGATCCTGACGGCAGCAGCGGTATGGTCTATTTAGATGATTACTGGTTGCAGACGATTTTAACAATAGAGGCTTAAGCTTTTAAAACATTGAAATTTTATTCTTGAGAAGTTGAACCATGAAAATTTCGCCTAAAATTTCCCTAAAGCTAGCAAAAGTTGGGAGACTTAGAAGCTTCAAGCAGTAGTCTTCTTTAGAACCCGAAAGAAAGCGTTTTTCAGCTATACTATACCTAAGCTTCAAAAAATATAAAAATATATTGGAATTTTTCAATGATCAGTTTTTATCGTGCAATGCATCTGAAACAGTCGAACCAAATTTTTTTTTAATTTATATGAGTGTATGAACTAAAAATATACCGAATAAATACCAAATATTTTCGATGTTGGAAAAAAGAAATTCACTTCAAGTTTTTTTGTTCAAATAAAGGTCAATTGAAAACTGAAACTATTGTAGATCACTTCAATTTTTTCGATCGGACATATATTCATTTTGTTATCACCAGCATCGTTTTGTAAGACTCGTAAAAATGAAAACCCGAGAAAACGCGTCTTAAAATTCGAACCTGCTAGACGCTCGGCCACTAAAACAGCTTGTGCCTCTAGAATATTCCGAGTTGTGCACTAAAATTTTAAAGACAGATTTTTGAATAGTTTTAGAATAGATTTATAAAACTGCATTTTTTTAAGCCTTGAGTAAATGTTCTCGCCGTTATGGTTTTCAAAGAAGTGAAGTTCAATTGCACCTCCAAACCAAAAAGCGATCCAGGTATTTTTTTGAGTGTAATTTCCTCTCTTCAATTACATGACGATTATCGGAGCTTCATATGCGAATTGCTTATTTGCGTAACCATCGAATTTGCTTGCTATCACGTCGCTGTGGAAAATTTTGCTCAGAAGATCACTGCTTGTTGCTCAAGCACCAAATCAACGTATTTATGGAGTTGTTAATGATGAAGGCTTCAGTTTTTGTTTGCCATAATATGCAGTAAGAAAGTCCAAGCTCTTGAGGATATCGAGAAATATACATATTCGGGTATTCAACTATACCTTCACTTACATGTAGCGATATTTGAGGTGAGAAAGCCCGTTTCAGTCTCTACGAATTTCTGGAAACTTTTTATTGTAGATTGCGTCGTTGGACGGTAAGGTGCACCATAATCTGCGCTAAAATTCCGAAGCGTGGCCACGTTTGGATCGCCATTTTTGTAGAAGGTTTAAAAAATTGGAACGCGTTTTGCGGTTGAACCATTTTTAAAAATGCTTGATTTTTAACTAAAACAAGACATGCTTTGTTATAAGTTTTATTTTATAGCAAAGAAAAAATTTAAAAGTCACAGCACACGAATATTTGCACCAAAAAATGGTTATTTCAGTTTATTCATTCACTCACTCACCACTAATTCCAAATTTTTATTTTTATTGTTGTTGCAGCAACTATTTAACTATTTAAAGACAAATGGCTGCACATAAAAATAAAATCAACCAATTTTATTGGCAACTTTCTACGCAGAAGGAAAACTACCATTTCCACCCAACATCTTCTCAATTCTCATACTGAGAAAAGGAGAGCTAATTTGATCAACTGCAATTCCACGAACGTCAACATAATTCACTTCATTGTTTCCAGCTTAATCACTTGTGCAGCACATTGAGCGGTGCAATATTGTACGTTGCCACCGTTAAATAGATAGACAGACATACTCATACCAATTCAACACTACTTATATACGAGTATATGTTATGTTATAGAGAGTACTGTGGACTACTGTGTGTTAATGTGAGGCAAATTTTTTCCCTTTTTCGTTTTCCGTTTTTGGTAGTCGTAAGCGCCAATCAATTTGGAACATTTTTCACTAACTAATCTCGTTGAGATAACTTGAGATGAGATCTGTTGGCACGCCAGTATGCGTATACGTCTGATGGGCTACTAAACTAACTGAATGGAGAAGAAGGGAGGGAGTGGTTACCGCGAAGACATGCTACGGCTGTCAGTGCAAAAGTAGTAATTTATCTTAATTTACTCATCTTCTTCCACTTAAATGCCATTGCCGACACTAAAACTATACATACATGCATACATATAGACTTACAATGCAGTTGTGTATACATATGTAGCTAAGCGAGTGTGAATTGACCGGCAACTGAGGGCTTCGCAGTGCACGCCTGCTTACAGCCAGTGGCAGCGGTATCATATCTATTCGTTGAATTTTGCATGCTTGCAACTTCAGCCCCAAACAGATAATTACATACCTTGGCTGCTTTGTCTGAGTGAAGAAGCTGCTGCCACTGCCTCACAAGCAAGCTGATGGCTGTCAGCCAAAAAAAAAAAATCTGAAAAATAAAAAATGGTTTTGTAGCATTAATGAAAAAGAGGGTGAAAAATTGGCAGAAAAATCTTAAAAACAGTGAATGACTGCTGCTGCTGCTGCTGCTGCTGATCCGGCCTTTCTGCTTTTCTTTCATTAGTTTGCTTAGTTCGCTTATCTGGCACTGCGAGGCGTCCAAGCTGTTGCATGTCAAATTTTGTGTTTTATGGACTTGTGATGTATTATCGAGGGAATTTCTCCAACTTTTACAGTTAGGTGTTGCAAAAACAAAATTTAGCTGCCACACATATTAACACATATGTGTATGTATGTATGCATTAGCTAACCATTTTAAAGCCTCTACATACATTACTTCCTTATTAACTGGCATTTTAGTCAACCTAATTTTTGAGTTTACCAAGAGATTGGGAGTTTTGTGTTATTTTGCTTGTTTGCTGATTGCATATCGCAAACACATACATACATGCACACAGCTAAAACCTGCAATTTCGCACTGAATCAGTCATGCAATGTTTAGGTTTCCCTTTTTGGTAAGTGAATGTGGTGAAAATTTAAGCAAATTGCTCGTTATCTTGGCGTTGTATACACATAGAGTCGAGGATCCCAATTTTAGTGGGAAGAGAAGTTTTCTTAGTTCAGTCACCATTCAAATGGACGTGCCAAATTCTAACTCTGAGATGAAAACTACATACAATATCACCAGATGTTGGAAAAGCCTTGGCATTACAAAATATATTTGACTATTTTCAGTGGATTGTGCTTATATTATTGACCATTAGAAGTACCAATATTTCCTTTTTGAAATGGAGTTTAAAAATAAACGGATCCTCAAATGAGAGAAAAAAGTAGGAACCCAATATTCATAAGAAAATGTAGTTCAACTGCATCAAATTGGAAGGAGTTCTTATTTACTTTCAGAGCACTTCCAACTAACTAAATCTTTCCTTGCCAAATTTAAGAGATCATGGCAAGAAGACCCAACTATAAAGCTCCGGAGAGGTAAATTTAAGTTGAAGTGGTTGCCGGCCATCAGCTCCCATAGACCAACAAACAAGCCCAATGTGTTACTGACGATCCCAGTGATCCCCACACGGCAGTCAAATAAATGTGAGAGTTTGAAAAACTGAACAATCGACATAATTTTGCACCCGCTATTTTTCGTAAGTCTCTAAAGATTGCCGCACCTAGAGTCTCTCCCCGAATTGCGGGGCATTCCCAGTGCAGAAGACATTTGATTGCACGCCTAACCTGTCCAATGTGTTTCGAGATCTTTTTATATCCCATATTGGCCACATTTTCCTGGTCTAGTTGCAGCATTAAGACTGTTCTACCTTAAATTGTCAACTTTAATGAATACCTAAAGTGTAAAGTAATTTTTTCTCGAGTTTCCTAGTTTTTTATACTTTGGTAGCTAAATTTCAGTGTTGTAAAGTAAATGCAGATTGTAAGCCAGCTGGACGTTCGTTTGCAGGTCGTGCACAGTAGAGCACTCTTAATTACCTTAAAAATATTTTTTGAAATTGTAAAAAAATAGAAAATGTTCATTCTATATTTTGGGCAAGAGGTGCAGCTGTTTGAGTTAACGGATCGGCCAGCGATAAATTTCTTCATATATTTTCCTGTTTAGAGACTCGAGAGCATTGATTTTTTCCTAATTGACTAAGGAGAAATTCTTTGAGCAAATATTTCGAAACGACAAACCCAGCGTTACCCACCTCCCGCCCAACGGACCGATTGGCGCGTCTGAGGGATAACCGAAAAATCCAACAGATCGGTGACCGGAAATCAGTAACAGTCAGGACTGCCCTGTACATGAAATCGATTGGGGAAGGTCGCCATTACACTTGCCCCTTATACTAAGCAGGTAAAGATTTTTTCATTAGCTGCTATAAAATTGCTAACGGAACAGGAAAATTTATAATGTGGACTCCATACAACTCAGCCATATCCCAAAATAGGCCTAGTAAGTGAGATAAAGAGTAATTTGATAATGTATGGGTCCTTGAACTCCTTAGACCAATGTTTAATGAAAGCTATAACGCCTTTTGAATAACTAGCACATGCATTTATACGATTTCTAAAATCTAGCTTAGAGTCCATTTTGACACATAAATCAATGAATTCAGTCACCTTTTCAACACTGTGATTATGTATCATATAGGCAAAGGATTGAAAATATTTTTTGGAGAACAACATTTATTGGTTAATAAAACCAGCATATTTCAAATTCATTGTATTTCTACTTTGTTTATCTATCTCTGTTACTTACATACTTAATTGGAGATTTCCTTTTTCTTTTAGTACCCTTAACGCCTGTGCAAGGTGTGCTGGGGCGCCAAGCGATGTTGCCTTGTGATATTTCGCCTATGGAACGGGATGATGCCGTTTATATGGTACTGTGGTTTCGAGAGGGTGATGGCGAGCCGATTTACAAGTAAGTTAATTGTAAAGACATTTCCACACATGTTTCTCTTTTCAAAAATAAGGAATGAAAGAAATACTACCAAAAATAAATATTTTTGCTTAAGTAAGTAAAGAAATCACAGTTGTATAAATGAATGGGAAAATTTAAAAAAAAAAGAATAATAGTAATTTTGTATAAAACTTTTAAATACTCGTACATACATTTACATTTATTACCTTCTCCATTTATTTGCACAGCTTCGATGTACGTGGCCGCCAATTTGGGCAGGCGCGGCTATGGTCTTCTGAATTAGCATTCGGGCCACGCGCCTACTTCAGCAGCACGTCACATCCTGCGCAGCTAAAAATCGATAATATACGCATCGAGGATGAGGGCGTCTATCGATGTCGCGTGGATTTTCGCAATTCACCAACACGAAATCTGAAAATCAATCTCACCGTCATTGGTAAGTAATCAATAGTGAATTATGTAAATTACTAATGTAGACACGACAGATTACTACAAGTATTTTGTTGGAATAAGCTTATAGAAATTTGTAGTGCTTAATGCCTGTACATATACATAGGCTTACTTATGTATATATATGTATGTTACATATATATATTGAGCACAAATGGCAAATTAATGAGAACAAAACGGACGGCATTTTGTGCAAATCGATTCAAACTATTTACAGTTACTTCTCACTTCTCTCCCCTGAACTATATATATAGAAATCTGCGCCTATGAATGTCCATGCTCATGTCACATTCAACCATTAGACAGAAGTTGGCTTGACTTTTTAGTGAAAATACAAATAAAACAACCAAAAAATCTAGCATTGCTGGCATACTTCCGTTACCATTTCCGTGTATACATATATTATCCTGCAGCCGATATGAGTTTATGTATATGTACATAGATATAAATGTGTGTGTCTATACATGGCTTTGGTTGTAAAATTTGTTCGTGTGTGTATGTGTTGGATAGTCATTTTATTGCCATTAGGCGCTTCTTTAAGCGCACACAGTCACTTCAAGTGCACAAATTTATTGTTGGCATACATACATACACACATACATATGGGTATGTACACATATGAGTATATTTGTATATGTATCTGCTGTCTATCCTTTGCCGGCAACATTGCATGCCTGCAATTTTACAAAGATCAAAAGAAAGAAAACAAATAAGGACAATAACAAAAACCATTGCAATTATGTTGCAATGATGGCATAAAGCATTAAAGCAAAGGCAACAGGCGTGTTCTTGCAATTGTCTCTACATTACGCCATACATACACACACATACGTATTGGTAACTGCTGGCATTTTCATATTTGTGGTCATAAATTTAAAGGGTGAACCAATGTTTTAGGCGTCTTGTTAAATTCGTTTTATTTGTAGTGAATTTTTAAAACATTTTTTTCATGCACTTTGTTGTTGCGAAATATAAAACGGCACTTACGACCACGCCCAGGCCATCAACTGTGGGTTTTCCTTACTGTATTATATGTACAATAACTTGTTGAAGGGCCGCACCTTTAATTTTTTATTTCTTAATTTCACGCTTACTTTTGAAACCCTAATTCAAACCAAAAATCAATTAATTTTGATATTCATATTCTGTTGTCCAATTTCATAAAAAAATATTATTTGCACATTTTCAGCAAACCAAAATAAAGTAGTATTTTTTCATTTATTCCGCTATTTTCATGGCTTTTTTCGAAAGCTCAAAAATGTGCATATAATTCTGCTGACGACTACAAGAAAATATTTTTTCTTCCCTTGGCTTGGCATCGCCGAAGTTATGATTGAAACAGATTTCGTGGCTCAACTTTTAGTTGGGAGTAATTCGTAAATTCCTTCAACACAAGTGGAAAAAAGCTTAAGACCCACAATAAAACTCAGATCACCTAAAGATAGCTAAAATAGCTCAGGCTATTCTTTAGTAGGAAAAAAATACATTTTTAAAGCCGGTTACCGCTTGCTGGGCAGCATAACGCTCGCTAAGGGATTCGGTTAATTTTGATCAGGCATTTGCAGGTTTCTAAGAATAATCTCATTGCGCATATACATATGTGGCAGTGAGGTTTCCTGGTAGCTTTGATTGAAATCGCTGTGGTCTTCGAATACTCGTTTCGCAAGCAGATCCCCATAATTATATTCCATAAATACATATTGGCTATATGACTCAATTGTATAAAATGATATCGGGACCAACTTAAACTTGCGGTTTCAATTTTATTTGGTTTCATTTTACTCTATTTGGATGAGTGCCAAAATATTTCTGTTAACTTTCTTGGGGTCATTGAGTTCTTTAGCTTAGTTTTTTTATGTTTCCATCTTAAAAGTGAATGTGCCTCGCTTACTCTACCGCTCTGAGACAAATTCCTTTGCCTTAAACGTAAACCGTTTGTCTGCATGGTATGACATAAAGATATGATGAAAATTTGTGGGCAAAGTGAATTTAATTTTGTATATTAGTCTTTCATGCTTATTCGACATAGCTTGATCTGTACCAAGAAATGTTGCTGAAAAGTACTCCTCACACTCAAATGCTCTCCTGATTTCATTAGTAATACGATGGACTTGTTCTATAGTACAATTTTTATGAATGAAACAATAATCATTGGAAATAGGTAATTTGAAACAAAATTATGGTATTAATTTAATATTAATTTTCATATGTGAAGAAACCGATTTTATGTGGGCTATACGATAGAGTCCTCCAATTTCGATGATAATCAGCACCAATGCGTTGATTATTGTATCCCGCACCCAAATTCTCAAATCTGAAAAATCAGCCCTATATACGCTATGGAGGTCAGAAATGGTAGGTCTGATTGAAATATCTCAAAACGTATGGATTGTGTTATTATTCGTCGTTCTGACCCGATCGGGGTCTATATCTTCTTCTTCTGGTACTTAAATACTTCATACTATAAACAACATACCATTTTCTAAGCAGATATGCATATAAAAGACGATGATGACAGTTGAATAAAAGTGTTTTTTTATAAAACAAAATACCATATCATAAAAATGTAATATTATAGACCCCAACGTTTAATACATATACATCCAGATGACTGAGACTTGGATTTATATGATAAATTAAGGTAACAGATTCAATGTTAATTGCTTCCAAACATTATATTTTAAACTTTCGATAAGAAAAGAATGTTATCGAACTCTTCTTATTCTATATATTTTTCTCAGAGTTAAGATTCCCTTAGAAGTGATGGATGAATAGATAATTCAGAAAAAAAAAATAACTCTATTTACAGAAGCAAATTAGCTATATTTGGATTGAAATAAAATAGCACTACTTAATTTTCGATTACTTTCAAAGAGGTGGCAACCCCATATCCATAGTTTTGTTGGTAGAAAAAATTATATTGGACGGGAAAACTTTTACATTATAACAGCACACTTAGTGATATTAACCATTTCTTTCGAAATTTGTAACAGCTAAAACTGTTTTCCGTATTAAAAATTATGTTGTGCTTGGCTGAATTAGGTAAGAGTGGATGAAGAATATCAGTCAGAACTGTAATCTTTCCCACAACCTCACCTCACCTTTTAGGAAAGGAACTTCTTGTGATAATTTTCTTACCCGTTTGTAACTTGTGTTTCACCTTAAATCATATGCAAATTATCTAATGCAAAGCAGAAGCTTACATACACATGATCAGAATTATACCAATGTGTTCTTTGGCTGAAAATAAAGTAAGCCTTGTCTGTCTGTCAATTTTACCCGCCATGCTCATATGAACAATGACACATGTGGAGAAGGAATGTTCTGTTTATCCATATTCTATAGTGATTGGCAGTTCAGCTCACTTTTGATACTGATGCTAAAAGAGCTCAGTACGCTTCTTGTTAGCTGGCTTTCGCTTGAAATTGAGATAATTTTTATATTCAAATCTAGTTGCGATTTGATTTGCTTTCTTCATGATCCCTTCACGTAAGAAATACCAAAACATTTTTAGGTTCCATGAAAAGTTTTGATCTATTCATGTAATATATATCCACACTGTCATCACTATCATCTGCGTGTGCAACATTATTCGTGTCTCGATTGCTGAGGGAGTTCATAGGTTTCGGTAGCTTAGATTCAACTGTAACGGTTTGTGTTGCTTGTAATGATAGCGTATTTTTATTTTATTCCAGTGGTTTGATTCTTTTAGATGATTTTTCCAGAAAATCCTACACTTCGTTTCTTGATCTATTTTTAAAAAAACATTACATAATTCACTTACTTCTTTTTTACCGTTTCTCTGCGCTATCGAAGCCTTGATTTCATTAAATGTCGAGATTCATTAAATTTTCAAAGAATCAATATTTTAATTTCTCTTCAAATTCAATTTATTTTTAATTTCTCGGAAAATTGACATGTGGCAAGTAGAAATCCCCAAACTCAATGACTTTCAATAAGTTTTTTTTTATATGTTCTTATTTGCTTGATCCATAGTGCATACTTATGTCTGTCTAGCGCCAGTTTACTTAAATGCAAATCGCCATTTATTCTTATACGTGTATTCTCAAATACTCGAATATGTATGTATAAATAAATATATCAAATGTATTTTGCAATCCACAGAACATTTTACGACTTTATTTCATATTCCCTCAATGTACTACACCACTGGCAATCGTGAGCTTTTTGGGGGCTTACAGTTTGCATGTTGCCGCTATTAATTTAGTGCTTAAGTAAAAATGTGCCACAACATGCAAAGTTCAATGTGCAGAAAATGCTGCGTGACAGCAATTTAGTTATTTTGTTTACATTATATTTTTGACCAGTTCAATGCGCTAACCGCTATTTACAAGTGCAGGCGGTTTAACTCAATCACATGCATGTGTTTGTGTGTGTGTATGTGTGTGTACTTTGGATGGCGTGTTTCGGCGTCGCTGAAAACTACTATTGTAAGTACAAAACTTTGTGGAGCATTCCCGTTGCGCCAATGAACGTCAGTGAAGTGATTTGCTTCTACCTTTTTCAAGCAAAACAGTAAGTATGTATGTACGTGTATGCTGGTTTTCAAATTGGTAGCCGCCACGTCGCAGACCAAATCCGAAGTCAATCCAATAGGGAATAGTAGTAGTTGTTGCAATATAAATGGCAATCTGTTATGGTTTTTAATGCGGCTAAACTGGTTGCACATAAATGTAGTAAATGTGCACAAATATACAATTACGTATTTACTAAGTTAACAATATACTACAATATGTACATTACATATTTACGTGTTTGAGTGATACAACAACAACTCATGTTAAACCGATTTTGTTGTTGATATATTGCTTAGTTTTTTTTTTTTTTAAAGTCAACTAATTGCTGGCGCATTTTCAACGTTTTTGTCGTTGTTGTTGTTGTGGTTATATTATATTTGTTATGTACCTACGGTGCAAGCTGCACGTTTGTCAGTTTGCCACTGCGCAACGATAATCACAAATCGGTAAGCATAATTTGTCACGTATTATTTGCTGTTATTCGCTGCTCTACACGACATTGAACACGTTCCGTTGCACTCGACATGCGAACATAATCAAACACCGCATGAATACATGCAATGAACACACAAACATACACATTTATGTACTTGCAAAAATTTTTTCATTTCACTTACTGCATTACACAGACTTTGCTGGCTAAGACTTCGCCATACTTGAGAAGAGAGAAAAATCAAAGAAGGATTGTGTTGTTCACCTTAAGAATGTTCGTATTGTGTTTTAGGAAAGAAGTGTGTAAATGCTGAAGGATTTTTGCTTATAAGCNCTATTTGAGATATCGATTTGAGATATTATATGAAATTTAGTTATTTTTAAAGGTGTAATCTACTGAAATCGAAAAATCGAAAAATCGAAAAATATCGATTTGTGCAATTTTTCCTATTTAATTGTTCTATCTGATTTTTCTTTGATTATCTAAACTTGTCTTAAGATATTTCATTTTTTTATTTCATTTTAATTTATTTTTTATTTCACTCAAATTATATTATTATGTTCAATTGTTTTTATTTGGTTTATATATATATAAATCCATTCCAAACAATTTTATTTCTTAAATTTCATTTTCTTTTCTTTTAACAATATTTTTCTCACTTTTTTATTTAATTTTAGTTTGGTCTATCTTCTTATTTTTATTTTACTTCATTTTTTTCATTTTATTTAATATTTATTTTGTTTAATTTAATTGAAACTTTTTAATTTAATTTCATTTGTTTCTGCTTTCTTAACATCTTAATATATTTATTTCCTTGTTACTTCTTACTTTATGTTTTTTTTCGTCATTTAATTTTATTTTGATTTCTTTTGTTTGATTTTTTTCATTTAATTTTTTTGTATCCTTTTTAATTGATTTTTTTTTCTTTATTTTATTTTACATAGCTTTAGTTAATTTAATTTTATTTGATTATATTTTACTTTAGGTAATTTTATTTAATCTATAATTATTTAATTTGTTTTATTTTTTATTATTTTATTCTGTTTTATATTATTTTATTTCATTTTTTTAAATTTATTTAATTTAATTTATTTGATTTTATTTTTTATTTAATTTTTTTTCATTTTGTTTCATGTTACTTTAATTGTTTTGTTTCTTTTTACTTCATTTTGTTTAATATTTTATATTTTTGCTTCATTTTTCTAAGTTTTATTTTAATTTAACAGAGACTCTGTCAATTTATTTCTTCTAATTAAAATTTATTGCGTTAATTTACTTTTTTGTATAATATTTTCTTCCTAGTTTCACTGTATTGTATATCAAATTTTTCTTCTATTTATTTTTTATATAATTTTAATTAATGTAAAGTAACTTTTTTTGTTTAATTTCATTATTCTATATTTTACTTCAGTTTATTTATTTTATTTTATCGAATAACGACTAACCATATTATCTACTATTTTTTTATTTATGGAAATGATTTCTTAATTAAAAATAATCCTTCTTCTTTTAATTAAAAATGTAAAAAAAAAAATATTTAACGAATCTTATTAGCTCCCTAATATTTCATAAAATGATATCGAAATTTTCATTAATTGAAACTACCTTTTCTATCTTTTCCGGTAAAAAAATAATGCTTGCTGTGTTAATGCTGCCTTTTCAACCACGTTTACCACTCACCGCTACCAATACCAATGACAATACGATGCACATCTATGACCAACTCTTTGTTATATTTTATGTCATCTTCGTGGAAATTTTTCTTTTCATACTTTCTTTGTTACTATTATTTTTTATTTTCCAAATCAACGAAAAAATTCCTCACTACGTAAATGAAAACAACAAAAAAAATGTAATATAACGGATAACTGCAATGGACCATCAACGAATATCAACAACATCAACAACGCCAACAAAATAAACATGTAACTAACTAATGGCCGCCGCACTCAACTGTGCAACTTAACTGACAATGATGAACTGGCAAAAATATTTCTCAATACCAATTTTTGTTACTGCTTTTGTTTTCTGCATTCATTTATTTCAACAATTTTTATTCTTTTTAACATTGGCTTCTTTCCGAGGGAACTTTGCAACATTTTTTTCTATTTTTCATATATTTATTTTGTCTTTTTTATTATTTTCCTGCTCGCTTTTGTTTTCCTTTAACTCTTCTCCACTGTTATTATTACTTCTTTTTTTTTCTTTTTTCACTCTTTCTCTTTATTTTCTTTTGCTTTTGCTTTTGTTTTTGCTTGACGTAACTGGAACATCACTGCCACTGATATTACTATTGTTGTTGGATGCTTTTACTGTTGCTGTCACTGCGGTTGTTGCCATCGCTCCTGTCATGGCCACTATTTCGAAAAATTAACGAAAAAAATCACCAAAAACAAACTATTGTTTTTCCTTCTCTTCTACTGCGCCATTTCCACTGTTACTGTTGACGTTACTACATCTGTGGTCTTCATTTATGCCCTTTTGTGTGTGTTTGGTCAATACACTACCAACAGGACGGCCACGTCCAAATGTAACATGGTATTTAGATAATACGGTGATTGATGAATCTTTCGAGCATCGCCCGGACGGCAAGACTGTTAACCACTTGTCATATCCAAATATTGGACGACAACATTTGAATGCGAGATTAGTTTGTGTGGCGAGCAATACGAATTTGACGCCACCAAACAACAAAGTGGTCATACTGGATGTCAATCGTAAGTACCAATATTGGCAAAATGAGTTTTAGCTAACAAAGACACTCTGGTATACTATGTAACAATTTTATTTCGTAGAGAAAAAGGTTTAATCCAGTAAAGTACATATATTAAACTAAAAATAAAAAATTTAAAAATAAAATTAAAATCAAACGAATTTAATCAAAACTAATAACATTAAAAATAAAAAATTAAATACAAAAAATTTAATTGAAATTATTCATATTAAATTAATTAGATTAATTAGAAAAATAACATAAAATAAGGAAAATTAAAGTAAAATAAAATAAATAAAAGAGATTGAATTAATTAAAATAAAGTGAAATAAAATATATATACAACAAATTATAAAAACAAGTTAATACGTTACGAGAAAATATAACGAAATAAATTTAATTAAAGTAAATAAAATTACATTTACTTGCATTAAATTTGATTGCATTAAGTAGAAAAACAATGAAAGAAATTGAAATTGATTACTTAAAAAAAAAAAATTAAGCAGTTATTATAATTTATATTAAAAAGACATTTTTAATTCTTCATCTTCACAGTAAAACCCGTTGCAGTTCATATAATGACAAAGGATCGCTTCGTATCTGCTGATCGCACATATGATATTGAATGCAAGTCTTCTGGTTCAAAGCCCGCTGCTGTTATCACATGGTGGCGGAATAATAAGCAGCTGAAAAAGTTTACAAAGAATGTGAGCATTAATGAGTTATCTCTTTTTACTAGTGATTATGTGTGACACTTAATAAAATTAGAATACATTGCATACCCTAAGGCGTCGGTATAATTTTTTTGTACAATTACAAGTACAGACTTAGAAGTTTCGCAGCTCGATAATTATAGAATTTATTCATGAGCTATTTTTGGAGATATTTTTTTCTAAACCCATTAATCTATATTTGTCAATTATAAAAGCATTCAGTAATTTAACTCAATTTTAATAATTAAATCTATATTCAGTGAAGGGCAAAATCAGAAAATTTAATTGCCTTAAAATTGAGCCTAATTAAAAAATAAATATCCTTCACACTTCTCATCATTTGCACCATCACATCGTGTTACACTCTTACTCATTAGCACATTAAATCAATTTAAGTAATGAAAGGAATAAGAATTTTCCATGTGAGTTGAGGTAGAGTTATCGGAAAGTAATAAAACAAATGTAATTACAGTACATAAATATTTATTTATGCCAAAGACATAATTGAGCGGAAGGACAGCAATGAATAAATACTAAAATTACGAAATAACGCCACTTAGCGACAATTTTATGCTAATCACCGAGATATTTAAACACATTTGCAGTGATTGAGCAGTGATTTTCCAAATCATTCAAATAAACAAAGTAAAATATTTACAAAATATTCTCATATTAATTTTATTTCTTTCCTTTTCCTATCTCCCGCGCCATTACTCGTACTTTTGTGTACGCAACCTGCGACAAATCAATGGAAATCTACTTAATTCGTCAACTTTCAGTTTAATGAACCCGACAATCAATCTTTGAGTATATTGACATTTACACCCACTCGGGAGGACGATGGCAAGTATTTGACGTGTCGCGCCGAAAATCAGTTCATCGAAGGAAGCGCCATTGAGGACAAATGGCGTATGGTTGTGCACTGTAAGTACGAAATTAAATTATCTTTTTTTTAAAGAATAAATGTATTTATTGAAAGAGTAACTAAAAAAAAACAAGGGAGAATAAATTAAATTAAAATTAAAATTAAAATTAAAATTAAAATTAAAATTAAAATTAAAATTAAAATTAAAATTAAAATTAAAATTAAAATTAAAATTAAAATTAAAAAAATTTAATATTTATTAAAATTATATTTTTAATTATAACTATAATAATAATTATGATTATGATTGCTATAAAATTTTTAGTTAAAAATCAATTTAATTTTAAAATAGAATTTAAATTTTAAATCAAATTCCAAAATAGAGAGGAAATAAAAATAGGTTTAAAGTTTCAATAAGTTTAAACTTGAGTTCAAATTTAACTATATAAACATTATAGCTAAAATTAATAGGAATATGAAATTTGTTGTTTCTTGAAAAAAATTATGTACACCTTAATTCGCGGTGATTGTTTTTTATATATATATTATTTAAAAATAATTTCAATGGCCATAAATTAAATAATTTAAATAAAAGGATGGGTAATTGTGGTAACATTACAAAAACAACAACTGATGTAATGTTAATGTGCTTTGTGGCAAAATCACTAATAACCACAAAAGTAAATACAAATACACACATACATATATACAGAATAAATATTTAAATAAGGCAAAATATTTACCAATACATAAACGCATTTAATTTATATGTACAAGAGGCCCGCTCAAACCAACAATCGCCACTTATAGCAACGCCAACTCCTTTAACGTTTGTGTTGAATTTTTGGGTGACCAATGGAAAGTTTTCAGAAAGGAATGCTCGCAATTGTACTGTGACTGCTGTTTTGAAATGAAGCTAATACAAATACCCACTCAAGCATATAAATATGCCTACCAAAGCTCACCCTCACACATCGCAAAACCACAAAAATACAAATACTAAAAACCAAATGCACAACGCCTCTGAATGTCCTTTGACACTTACATTCAATTTAATTCAATTGTGAGGCTGTATAAATGCTCCAATGTTTGTTTGCTTTTCCCTAGTTTTGTTGTTGCCCAATAGCCTGTTTTGCTTTTGTTATTTTTCACTTTGCTCTCTCTCTCTCTCTTTCTTTCTCTATTCTTTTTACTTTGAGTTGTTTTGGTGTGGATTGTGATTAGAAATAAAATTGGCCAAGTTTGTAATAAAAATAAATTACCCATTTGCATCGTTGGGTGGTTGGTTGAACAGTGGGAGTAGATGCCATAAGCGTTGGAGGACAATGAGAGTCCTCGTTGGCATGAATATTGCGCAAAACATATTGTACGCATTTAACCAAAATGTACATATATTTTTCTTTATTGATACTGTGGCTGGAAATGTTGTTGCAAAATATATACTTGTATATGTATTTGCGCGTTTATGTCTGCATAGCCACAACGATATTGTTCATGCAGAGTGTTTAACAGTGGCGACCATCGATGCCTTCATTAAGCATAGCTTTTAAAGTAAAACTGACTAAAAAAAGAAATAGAAAACTCGAATGAGAGTCCAACCGCATTTTATGTTGTCCTTTCTCCCTGTCGTTCAGTCGACATGGATGTCCTTTTGCTCAAATATGCATAAATATTTTTCGTGTCCATTGCCGACAATTTACTTTAATATCACCTCAGTTGAGGGCAAGCTAATTTCGTTTGCAGTAGTTACATACAATATTATGGCTAAGTCACAAACTTTCATACATAAACACATACATACATAAATAGCAGCTCAAAAATTACATGTTGTTCCATGGCGTTGATTTTTGCTTTTGCATATATCCACTTTGCAAACCCTTCAGCGGTAATTTCGCCTTGATTTTATTACTTTCAGTGAAGCTATAGCATTTTATACTTTTCAGCTATGACGCACTTTTTTTTTATTTTTTTTTTTTTAATTACTTTGCGTACATTAAATCAGGGAGGATAATAAAACTCAAAATTTTTTCAATACAATAGAGAGTTGCATTTTGGCGTATCATATAAAATTTGGACATCAATTAGCCCTTTATTGATTTACATAAGCGCATATTCAGCACCATGCACTGACAACGAAATATGCCAAAATACAAAGTGTAGTTACATAAATCTAATTTATTTGTTTAGCGTATATTTTTAGCATTTTAGATTTATTACTTATGCACTACGTTGCAATTATTTATGCATTGAAGCGGTAATTAACAAATATTTACAATACAAAACAATAAATATTTATTAACCATTGAAGCATAAATCTATTGATTTAGAAATTAGTTTTGCGCTAATGTGCATTCAGTTGATGCATTAAACCTTTTTGTCGCTTTATTCACAAAATTTTAAGTTGGATGAAGGGAAATTTGCTGAAAAACTGCGAGCTTTTGCTGAAATTCGAAATGGTCAAACTGACAATTTTTAGTAGCACAAATAAACTTGTGTAGGAATAATTCTAATGCAAGGAGCTTCGGAAAAATTATAACAGAAAAATTCATAAAAAGAGCGATGAAAAGACGAGGTGATCGCGAAATTGGAAAACCTAACCTTCCAGATCATTTAAATTTTTGCGGAGATTCAAATTGACATTAAATACTTATTAACAAGGAAAAAACATCGAAGGGAGACCCATGTATTGTTCTTGACCAACATTCAAAAATTAAAAAAATAACGACTGAATGAAATTCAAGAAAACGACTTGGAAAATATATGGTTTCAATAATTGTTGATCTCACATGCCGCATAACACGAGCAACTAATGCCTATATGTGAGAATAATTTCCCGACCGCGTAATCTCTCGCCTCGGCGTACGGTTTCTTGTGGGGGTCTGCCAAACTCCGCGGTTATGTGGATAAGCCTTGAACTCTTGAGCACTTTAAAATCAAAATTTAGCAAGTTATGGCTCAGATAACACCCAATATGTGCCAAAAAATGATCAAAAATTATTTAAAATAGATCGAAGTTCTCGAATATCTGCAGGTCGGCAGATGTGCAAGCTTTGTAACAAAAATGGAGTTTCGTGAAGAAAATTATTTTAAATTTAGTTCTTATGTTTATTTTCAAAACCATCTCCTCTAGTGCTACAGACAACCATACTTCAGGCCACGTCAAAGCCGATCAACATTATCCCAATAGGGAACGCGGTGGTGTCAGCCTTTTGTCTCACGACAACATCAATCATTTAAGCAGCGGCGTCTTTGCAATTGAAGGATCGGTTTTATTAAGTGCATACTCTCCACACTCTAGTTGATTCTTTTAATGTGTTGGGGCTAAAAGTTTTTACCCAACCTTAAGACTTAGCTTCCCACTTTAGCTTGCCTGAAGTAGAAAGTTTCATGAACTATATATAATTGAATCAGTTTTGCTCATTCCCAGGAGAGTGGACTTTTTTCTCCGCAATGTCTAATTATTCATCTATAATTACTGTTTAAAATTTCACCTAGAGGTAAAACTATGTTGTTAACATTGAAAGCTAGAGAGCAATAGCAACATCTTTGAGAACCGGATTATCAATTTGTAGTCTTAAAAGTAAAAGGCTGTTTCTAATGTTTTATTGCTTTCCCTTTACAGATCAACCAACAGCACACTTGAAAATGGGTTCCTCACTAAATCCCGATGACATTAAAGAGGGCGATGATGTCTACTTTGAATGTGTGATACAATCAAATCCAAAACCATATAAAATGTCGTGGTTTCATAACGTAAGTATATACAGAAATTTCAACATAATTAAATACATTTTTAATTATAAACTCGTACATATATACTAAATTAAAACACCTAAAGAAAAATACTTAAAGGAGAAGTTCTAAATTAAATTAAAAAAATATAAGAAGAATAGTTTTGTTTACTTTCAACTGCTGAAACAAATCTTATCCAATAAGCAGTGAAACGATATTGATGTCGCAAATTAGTACGACTTCTAGCACACAAAAAGTTTTTCAAATAAAAAAAGTCTTAATATAAAAAAAGTATGTGGAAAATTGGAAACCAAAAAACAACGATTTGTACAAAAGCACACATACAGCATATATAGAAATAAAAACTTTTATTTTTATTGCCATCTCTCATATTAGCAAACAAGATGAGACCCGTAGATCAGTAATTTCTGTTTATTGGCATTAGTACAACAACAACAAAAATAAAATAGAGTGTAAAATAAAGACAAAATAAAAAACAAAACAAATAAAATAAAATATGTGCTTTTTTTGTTTATTTTGGAACAAAATTTTTTCCCAGCTCAAATAAAATTAAAATTAAACCAAATAAAGTATTATAAAATAAAATAAAATGTAATAATATTTTTATTAAGTAAACTACGAGGCCTTGTTGTTTGTATAAATTGAATATTTGTTATACAACAAAGACAAATGGTTGAAGTGACAGCTGTTTCGGAGATCACCACATCTCCCCATCAGACTTCCTATGGCAGGGATCGAACCAACAGATCCTGACTGAACAGGCGAGTATTCTACCACTGCTGTTGGCGCAGTCGCAGCTGTCACTTCTACCATTTTTCTTTGTTGTATAACAAATATTCAATTTATACAAACAACAAAATTAAAAAATAAATTGAAATATGAAAAATAATGAAATGAAATAAAATAAACTTAAATTAAATAAAATGAAATAAAATAAATTAAAATAAAATAAGATAAATTAAAAAAATAATATTAAATAAAATATAATATATTAAAAAAATATAATATTATAAACAAAATAAACAAATTCAAGTAAAAAAAATTGAAAATTAAAATATGTTAAATAAAAATAAAACCAAATTGAAATAAATAATATTTTTTACTAATGAAACTTATTCATTTTATTTTATGTCATTTCATGTAAAATGTTTGGCAATTTTTTTTTATTAATTATTAATTTTGAATTTTGTCATTAATTTATTATATATATTATATTAAGCCTTAGCTATTTATATATACAAATTATTGCCAATGTATTCCTGAGTTTTAATTTGACCTTAGTTGAGAATATAACTTAAAATCCTCTCTTTCGCGTCATAGTGAGTTTTTCTTTTAACTTTGACAACATATTTTGGACAGTTTTTTATTTAAATAGTACATTACTTAAATTTAAATTACTGGCAGCAATATCCGAGTGGTTAGCATTACGTCTTATCATTCTGAAGCCAAGGGTTCCAGTTCTGATTCAATCTTATTGCGGCCGCCCTTTGGCAGAGAACGTCAAGCTCTCCGAGTTTATTTCTGACATGAAAACCAAATGCTCCTCTTAAAAAAACAATCATCCGTTCAGAGGCGGCTTCCAATAAATTGTAAGTCACTCCATTTGTGGGAAGACATTAAGACGCATACCACATTTAGTGGAGGAACTCGGCCAAAAATCGCATCAGCTGTTACAAGCGCCAATTATATAAACAATTATAAGAGTTAAATCTGTGTTACTTATCTTTTTGAATTAAATTTAAAAATATTTAATTGAAATTTTCACTTTTTATTATTGCTTTTAAGTAAACACACTCAAGCATATTTCCTTAAATTCGAAGGTCTCTTGTTTTCTTTTTACGGCCAATTCCCATTTCTTACAGCTGAAAATTAAAATTACACTCATGTATACTTTATTTGCGCATCAGATGCAGACATACATGCATACATAGATAAATATGTTCATATGTGTGTGTGCATATATCCTCGAAAGTACTAATAAGCCCGTGTTAAGATGTTTGCAAATGTGGCCATTGAGAGTTTGCAATTGTATGGCGATTTCTTCATTATTATTGCGCTAATAATAACGGCCATCATAACAGATACAGCATATCAAGTCTTCCTGATCGTCCCGATTGCAATCATACTCATATGTTTTCATCATCAGCAACAGCAAGTGCAAGTGTATCCATCCGACAATGCATCCTTCTAGGGCAACATTCGCAATCAAAAGCGTTATGATCCCTTTCATCAGCACTATAATGCCATCAATGCGCAAACAAACACATGCGAATGCACGGTGCACACACACACATATATATATATATATATATATATATATATATACAATCACTTATGCACATTCGCCAAGACATTTCCCTTGGCCATAATGTCCTTTGCATCATGTTGGCTCTTTGCTCTTTACTCTGTCATCATCGCAATCAACGTCACGCTGTCTCGCAGCCTCGATGGCACTGATGCATTTATTTCAGCATTTGTAACACGTTATTTCACGCGGATTTAAAAGTGTATATGCACACATATGTATATACACATTATTGTACAATAAATATTTGTATTATTTTTTTTTTTTTTGTTTTATGCTACATTTTCACTTATCGCTCTTTCTTTTTCTTTTCGATTCTTTTATGCAATGTTGCACATTTGTTGCCACTTTACTGACTCGCAACAACAACGACGACGACAAACACAACACATCCTTGTCTCATATGGCTATATGATTGCACGATACAGAATAAGGAGCTGCATCACAACATTTCAGCTGGCATCATCCTTTCGGATCAATCACTCGTACTGCAGAGTGTCTCACGTGCATCCGCTGGTGATTACACGTGTTTGGCTGTGAATTCAGAGGGCAGGGGCGCCAGTAATCCGGTTTCGTTGCGTATACGCTGTAAGTATCGAGTGAAAACAATTTGATTTCATCATTACTGATTACTATTTGATGTTATTATATACGTACATATATATATATATATAGTTAAATATACACACATTTAACTATGTATATCTGCAACTGTGGCAGCCTCTATGTATATGCACTCATATGTATATATGTATGTTTGTGTGTATGTGAGGGCGAGTGTTTGTGTTAACACATTTTAAACATATTTTCACTTACATACATACATATATACTTTTATATATTTTATAACCAATATAGCTGCTTTCGAAACACTCGCCAGTGCGTAGTTTCGTCATAAATTTCCGTCTATAAAATCTTATTAAGGGGTATAATAGTTAATGTCGGTGTAACTCCTAGCGATTTTTGCCATTTCCTTGAAAATAAGGCACACAAGTACCACAGAACTTGTTGTATTTATTGTCAAGTATATTGAATTTAGACAAGAGCTTCTTTTCAAAAATGAATTGTAACTCAGAAGCTGTTGGAGGTCAAGAATTAGTTTTGCGCGCACAAAAAAAGAAACAATTTTCTTTCATAAAACGTGCTATGCTCATTCTTTTGAGAGCATTAAAAAAGAAAAACAGTATTTGGGTGCTTTCTGAAGAAGCAAAGCCAAATGTTTTGGTAATCACCTTAGCAAGGTGTTTCAACCAAATGCAGTATTCAATATCTTAACATTTTCACCTTTGTCTTGATTACCCAAAACTAGCGTATCATCATCTAAAATAATACTCAAAATAAAAAGAATGAATATTAAAAAATCTTCTTGGTATGACCAAACGTCTCGCAAATTGTTAAGAGAGCTTCCACATGTTGCTTAGAAATTTCTGTTTGGACTCTTTATTCTCATCTTTAAAAAGATACATATATTCCCTGATAATCTATTCTATCAAGGCAGCCCAACCCGAAACGGCTCTACGCGGCCATTAACGTATCGGTCAATTAGGGAGAGTCCAAAGCCACGCAGCTCTGCCGAAAGAGGCGAGTAGTTAGTTTATCTAAACTGTACAAAAACATATGAGGAGATGAGGAAGGAAATTGATATGAAAGATTGCTTAATAATTTTAGGTTGTTAGAAAAGATATATTATAAATAAGATAGCATAACAATAGCTGTTTTACATTTAAATATAAAGGAATTTATCTCAAAGGAGTATACAACAACAACTACAGAGACTGTCGGCCTTCCGAAATATATCACTCGCAACTTATGTATAACCGCCAAACCTCTACTGGTTATTAATATCTGAATGACAAAATCCAGTTTCAGTCCCCGGAAAAATGTTCCTAGGCATTTGTGGGCAGATTTATTCGTTTTTTAGAGTCTTTTATTTAATTAGGTGGACTTATTTTTTAATCCATTTCGACTTAAAATTAAATATTAGAAGTACCATGATAGATAGATTTTTGGCTCAATTAAAATTTCAACAAATCGACCTGGATTCAAGATATATAAGTAATTTTTTACAACGTTTTCCTCATATTGGACAGTATATCAGACATAGCTTGACGCAAATCGCACGATTTCGGTGAACAATTGGCAATGCCAAGTCAAGAGATTACGTGGCCAGGAAACTTCTCTCGCACTAAAATCCTAAAATCATATTTTCACGAATTGTGTGGCATGTGGTACCACCTGGTGGAAATCACATATTTTCCAAGTCGGAATATCCTATTTCAGGTCAAAAAAAGTTGGTTATTACAGAAACATAACGCTTCAAACTGACAGTGAAAGTTTCGCCGACAGACATTAATTTTTTTTTTTGTATTAGGAGCTCTCTTCAATTATTTGAGGATTCTCGGAACCCATAGCTTGCTTCGCCGCTGAAGAGATTCTGTTTGTTTGTTTGAAATATAGTAGTCGACTGCTTGTTGTTCAAGCACCCAATCGACGAACGTGGGGTGTTATAAAAGGTTAGCTGGTTTATATATTATTTATATATATGTTGGTTTTAGAACAAGTACTAAATACGCCATAATATGACGAAAGTGAGGCCTAGCTTTTAAGAACGTCAAGAAATGGACAAACTCGGGTCTTTGGCTACACTTACAGTAACGATATTAGAAGAGGAACAGCAAAACGGTCCCGGTGTTTGAAATTTCTTTAAAATTTCCCATATTTCTTGATAAGTTGGGCGATTATGTGTATAATAACCCTCTCTTAAAGCAAGTTTTGTGTGGCATTTTTGTAGTAAAGCTTACCAATTTCAACTCATTAGGCTGTTAGGCCATCCATTTTCATTATTCCCTGGCTTTCACTAAAACCAAACAGGCTCAGTTTGACAATTAAATTTTACAGAAGTAAAAATTTGGCACTTTACTTTTAAAATCATGCAATAAATCAAACTACATAGTGCCCTGAGCCATCTTAGGATTGTATATTGCTGTTGAAATTAGTTACAATGGAAAAGTTAGCAGATGAATAATAGATGACGTTGTGGCGGGAACACAACTTTGCTCATTCCAAAAAGTACAGATATTCAAACATTTTTCAATTTATTTGTGCTTTTTTCAAAAATAGGTTTTGTAAACTTTGTAATAAAAAAATCTTTGTATATGTCCTTACTTTGGAGTTAATTTGAAGGTGTTAAATTAAACAAAACGAAGTGTTTATTCAAAGATTATTATAAAATTCAATCATAACTGAAAGCAACCGCCAAATTAAGGTAGAATGGAAAAGTTCCGGAAAGGGGATTTCCAGGTACTTGGCAGAGGTCTCATACCCCCATAAATAATAACTCAATTTCCAAAGAAAGCTCTTATAAAGTGTGGTAGCAAATAACACACTGAGACAGCATAATAGTGATATTAAATTACTTTTAAGCTGCATACATTTTTTAAAAAATTCTCGTAACGCACTTTGCTATTCACCTTAATCTCTTTACCCTTAGAACCATTTAGAAAATAACAAAATTTGCTAAGTACTGCATTTTAGCGCTTAGAAACATGAAAAACTGTAGAAAAATACTAACTGTTTGGCATGCACTATAAAGCTTTATAATATATTCAAAACAGTCTTGCCACTTGTTATAAAATTTACAAAGAAAAAAAAAACGCTGTCGGCCCTTTTCCCAGTATAACTTCGCTACAAAGTGTAGCGCATGTATGGCAGAATTATATGTGTAGGCACACCTATACATATATACTAAAATTTTCTTAGAAAAGCATAAGTGCAGCAGTAGACTTCAAAAGCCCGAGGGGTCACTAGAAAACCCTTAACTCGATTAATCTCTCACCGAAAAAATAAGAAGGGGAAAACAGCAAAAAGTAAAGGAAAAGGAAAGAATAATACGATGAATAAACGAATGAGTAAACCTACAACTGAGCGAATGTTCCAAATGCTATGCATTCTGCAATACATACTCGTATATATTTACACACGTACATACATAATCGCTGCCAACAACTCACACGCAAGTGACGCCAAGATGAAATGAAGTGTAACTGCGGCCATTTAAAGCGACACGACGCCAATGCCAGCGGGCTCCATGCAGACGAGCTGAAAAGAAAGCAAGTCAAGAGGAGCACAAGTAAAAATAGCAGGACATGGCGTTGAAAGACAGGCGCTTAGGCGAATGGCAAGAAAACCATTTTACAGTAATGAATATTTTTCAGCGACTTATATACAGTTGTAGCTGCGCCAAGGGTGTCAAAGGACGAAGTCGGCTAGCTGTGCGGAATTGGAAAGTATAGCTGGGATAGCAGTGCGACGCCTCAAAGTTTGTCAACCATAACAGCTGCCAGCTTAAAGCTGCACTATTTTGCATTCGTTAAAAGCATTTAGCGCGAAAGGAAAAAAACCAAGATTGAAAACAAAAAATAAGCTAAAAGACGATTCCTCTTGAATCTACCTTTTCCTCACTTAACAAAAGATATCCATCGAAAGACGAAGCAAGACAAACGCTAAAAATAAAAAACAAACGTACAGACAATATGCAGATCAAGTGTAAAGTTTAGCAAGATTTTTCATTTGAATGGAGATTTCTTTGTTAGCACTTAATTCGCTTTTAAAATAAAATAACCAAAAAGACAGTAATAAAATATACAGAAACTGTAAAGCAGCACAACAACATATCTGCAGCAGCTAAGATTTAAAAAAAAGGTCGACAACACAAAAAATAAAAAAAATAATAAAAAACTAACATTCAAAATCTCCCGCACTAGACAGTGGACACAGTAAGCTCTCCACTCAAAGATATTTTTAAAGCTTCCAGCAGCTTCTGACGCAACTCCCGCACTTCAGAATAAAAGGATGAAACGCATAAAAGGATTTGGGCGCTGAATTTTGGATTATTTTGAAAAAAAAAAAAAAAATTGAAGACTACGCGCCAGTAATGAATGGCGCTAGGCTTATTGCAACAAGAACTAAAACAGCAATAACTAAGCATGTTGTCAACATTTCCTTTCAGAAACTTGACTGCTGTTTAAGCGATTGAAAATGGTTTAACCAATACCATCTTCATGCGTACCAACTACAGAGTGAGAGAGACCTTTTTTTGCATTTTGAAGCAGGCACAACCTAGCCCAATAATAGAACATTAAATATTTTACATTTTTTTCAGATTCTGTTAATAATATCAACAATCAAATAAAAAAAAAAAAAACGAAACAAAATAAAATAAAATAAAATAAAATAAAATAAAATAAAATAAAATAAAATAAAATAAAATAAAATAAAATAAAATAAAATAAAATAAAATGAAATAAAATAAAAGAAATATAAAAAACTTAAATAAAATACAAAGAAATTAAAAAATATGAAATTAAAAGAAAATAAAATAAAAATAAATATATAAAATGAAAGTTATTTTATTTTTCTCATGATGATATACCAAAGGGAAAGTAAATGATTTTTGTAATATCAGAAGAAATTGTAACAAGTTTTTTGCATATAAATTTAAGAAAAATACTAACAATTCTCTAAATGCTCCTTTTGATAAACATTCAATTTCTTTGAGATGGTATAAAGGGTTATTTTTTTTTATTTTCGGGAAAAATGTATTCAATATATTTAACCATTATTATTCAAATAATAGATGTTAAATCGTAAAAAATATAATCATTACAAATTTTCCACAATAAAAAATAGACGCTTTCTCAGACAAAGTTAGGCAACGCAAATGTACGATATACAGCATATAATTTATTTGGTAGATGTGGTCTGTCCACATTTGTGTCTGATAAGGATCATCTGGAGCATCGAATAGTTTGAGAGTCAGTTTATTTAACGTTTAACTATGTAGTAATAGGAAAACAAAATGTAACTAAACGATTCCTAAAGTTGAATATTCATTTATCCATTTCAAAAGAAATATCGCTTTGAGAATTATCACAAAAAATTTTCTAAAATATAAATACTCGTATTTACCTAGTAGAATTATACAACTGTCAATTTTATATCTTATAGAAATTTAATTTCATAAATTCTTCATTATATTGTAGTTGTTTCACTACATGCGTTTTGAAGTATATTACAGAATTTTTGCTGCTGTTTTTAACCGTGTTTATTATCCAAATTAAGAAGAAATGGCTTAAGCTAATATATTCGTACAATGTTTCTACTACCTTCGTGAACTTTGTGGGGTGTAAAGCCTAACAGAATTATTTTATTTTAATTTTCCTTGCATTTTCAAATAATTAAGTACTGGATGGAAACGAAATAAGTCAATTGAATTTCATTCTACCAATAATACCGAAATTCACAACAAATGGTTAAGGAAATATTTATTTTCCTATCGCAATTAAATACTTTGTAATATTTTACGTCTGATTCTCTGACATGCCATATTATATAAAATAATCCTGCATAAGTCTCTTAAGCCATTGAAAAGGTGTTGACGAAAATGGAGAGAAAGCAGTGGAACATAAAAAAAGCAAAATGTCAAGTTTGCTTCGCATTAAACTATTTATAACGCACTTAGAAAATTTAAAGGCGAATTAAAATCCAACGCTACATTCGGCGTACATACGTAAATGATTGCATTTTCTGCAATGTCGGAAAGCGAAAACTACAAAGACGGCAAATAAACAAAATCCACAAACTGCACGTCAGAAAAAACATAGAGAAATTCCAAAAGAAGACGACAAACAAAAAATTAAGTGCCAACGAAAAATTGCGCTGAATTATTTCAGCAACAAACAAACCTGAATGAATGTGGAATCCTGCATTGTTGCTGCCGCTGCTGCTGCCACATCCTGCTGCAGTTGCTTGTTAAACTTGCATTTACGTTTGTTTTTGTCTTTGCTGTTCGTGATGGTGTTGTATCTGCTGGTTGCTGCCTTGCCCATGCTGACTTGGTACTTAATTGCAATTTCAAGCCAACGCGGCGACTTTCAGGCTAATTACACTTGCAAAAACAATAAAAAGAAAGAACAGAAAACACAAAGAAGCTACAGCAGAACAAACGAATAATGAAAGTATAGTAAAAGTGAGAAAAAATAGCAACCAATGGTGTGCACCAAAAAAAGTTAAAAAATCAAAAAAATAATAAAAGAACAAAAGCAGCAGTTTTTAAAAGAAATGAAATGTGTTTACTAAAAAGGATGGGTGAAATGTCGAAGATTGCAAATGGGGAGGAGCATGGTCTACTACGCCAAATGATTACACATGGCGGTGGGTGCTGCTGCCAACGCAGCATTGCATTCATTTCATTATGCGAAGCGTTGGACTTCCGCGAGCTGCAATTTGGTTTCTCGCAGCTCAAACTTTTCTCATTTTTTCCCCTGCGCGGATGTGCGATGGAGAGTGGTATATTCAATTTGTTTAATTGAATGGATACGACAACTACAATAGCCGATTGGTGGCATTGCGCACTGCCGTGCTGAAGACCAGGTTATGGGTATTGGCTCAACATTCAAAATTTTAGAAAATTAGTTTAAATAAGAGATAATGTTGACTTTTCTAATTGCGGTCACCCCTCGACAGGGAACGTCAAGACCTCCGAGTGTACTTCGCTTAGGAAATACCAAAGCTCCTTATAAATATCCATCGTCCATTCGGAGGCATTAAGACGCAAACCATAAATTGGAAGAGGAGCTCGGCCGAAAATTTTGAATTATATATACATATAGAATTCAATAGACCCATCTCATGTATAGTGTCTAATGAATCTTTGGTTTTTACAGCACTGATAGATTTTTATTCACCTAAGTTTATTTTTGAATCTGCTTAATAAATAAATACTAAAAAACCTTCTTTTATTTTATTTACTAGTATTAAATTTCAACATCACGGAGTTTAACTATTAAATTTAGCACTAATCGAAAATAATACAAAATATATTTAAACTAAATTTCGGCATCAGTTTTTAGCTTCACCTTACCCGTGTTATCTCTCCTTTTCGGTTACTTTGTTTGCTTGCATATTTTTACATCCCCCACTTCGGCGGGCTGCATTTGCAACCAACTTTTTGTGTGTATTTTTTTTTTTTTGGTGGGTGAGGAACAAGGTAGGAGGTGTTGTGGGTCAAACTGAATTCAACATGCATTCAAATAATATCCTTTTATGCATCACTGCGTATGCATCTTTCCATTTTCAACTTATTCAACATTTACTTATTGTTTCTCTTTCTTTCTGTTACACCTCTCTTGCAGTTGCACCCATTTGTGCCACCGATCATGAGGAGCTACTTGGCGCCCTAAAGCATGAAACGCTGCTGCTTAAATGTGAAGTGGACTCATCACCGCCAGCGGAGGCATTTACATGGACATTTAACTCGTCCGGTGAACAAACGGAGTTGCCCGCGCGGCTGCATTCGACGGAGGTAATTATTTTAAGCAAGCATACATATAAAGTTATAAATATGTATATGTGCAAGTGTGTGTGTTGCATTGAAGCAACGCGCTATTGAACTCAGACCTATTCAAGTGGGTGTCAGTAGCCTTACATATAAATATAATTACATACACTTATACATACTCGTTCATTTGTGGTTTGCTACGCTGCCTCGTGACGGTCACTCTAATTTTGCGGTCTAAAGGAGCGAGTGTGAGTTTTCCCGCCAGTTCACATTGTTGTTGGTTTTTTCGCCATTTTAATTCACTTGACTGTAATCTGCGCTGCTTGAATTTTTTTACGTTTGCTCTCCTTGCCACCCATTCGTGTTTGTGTGAGTAGGTTTTGTCTTTTCTTTGAAAATACTCATGGTAACTAATGGTTAGTGGGCGTGTCAAATACAGCAAATTGATAGCGTTAGCATTCATTAAAAGCTCACAAAATAAACAAGAAATCCTGAAACTTTTCCAAGTTTACTAATGAATAAATTACGAGCAAGTTTTTGTAAATTTTCTTTTTTTTTTGCAATTGCATTAAATAGAATTTCCTCTCAGCGAACAAACATCAAACAGAATTAAAGCAAAAGGGTGCGACGGATTCGGTTGTGGAAAAATGTAGCTTTTACCGTAGTGTGGATTTTTACGGAAAAGATTTTCATTATATTTGCACATCTTTAAATATGCATATATTCTGATTTGGTATTTTATTCATATGACCACAACTACTTATCCTTCCGTTGTTCTCCGTTGTCTCTGAATCTCTCGAGTAGATTTTAACAGTTTTCTGCTCTCAGCGCGCCCCATAGACAATGAAATAACATGCTTTTGATCATATTTGAGCCACATTCAACGAAAAGAAGGATACAAGTACGGAAATATATTTCGCTATACTTTTCCAGTTCGTTAACTTCAGTCTTGCACTCTACAAATACTCCAACGTGCAATGATTTAGCTTCTTATAAAAATCTATCAGTCATTCAGCCGGTGGCAACGGCTTAGTATAAGATGAGATCTTCTACGCCCTTTTGTAAAATGATTCAAACTTACTTACAAAGCGACTCACTTCGATATGTTTACCAAGCAAGTGGCAAGGTGGCAAGAAACGTAGGTCGCTTTCATTAATAACCCTATATAAAAAAAATTATTTTCCTATTACGACATCATATAAGCCGAACAATCTAACATATTTTCAGTTGAAAGCATGTAACAGATTGGTGACGATTGGATCACACTAAAACTACCAATCCAGCGGCTGTCTTTTAAGCAGTGCGCTTACGTTGAGGGTAAATTATTTAATCTTGCGTCAACATATGAATCTCTAAAAAAAACGAAAAACGAAAGTACATCCCCTTGATATTTACTGACACCCACAGAGCTCTTAGTATTACAGTGAAGGTGAAATCTTTTTTAGATGGGTAAAATTAAGATAGTTTGCTAAGGTGATGCTCTTATCATCCTGTAGTCTATCACTGGTAATAAAGCGCCCATTTGAGATCTTCAAACATTTGCTGATAGACAAGGACTCTCTATAAACCAGTAAAATTATAATGATTTAGCTCAACATACTTAAGGAGTAACTTCATAGTGATCTCCAATTCGGCCAAGGGGTAATTCGTTACAGAACCAATCAATTTAAAGCAATATATTGACGGCAAGGCCATTCCTGCAGAAACACCATTGCGACAAAATAGACCTGACAAATAAAACATTTCAAATGCCGCATTAATTCAGTGCAAAATACCCGTCTACTGGTTAAAGCAAACACTACCTTATCAAAGGGCCTGAAAGACAGGTAACATCCAGTGTCACATGAAGCAGAACTTACAGCTAGCAAACTCGAAATCATATATAATTTGGTTCAGACCAAAATTATTAAAATTATAACAAAAATCGAGCTTAACATACAATGTGATTTAGAGAATTAAACCTTATGTCAGGTTCAAGCAGCCTGTTCCTTGACTCTCAGCTGGAAGATGAACTTTTTACTGAAGACATCCATATTTATACTGATGTGTCCAAATTAGAAACAGGCATGGATTGCTTGAGAATTATTCTTGCGAATGACGTATGGAGACGTAATATCTTCCGTGTTGCCCTAGCCACAGTCTTATGGCGATGAGTGCGCTTGGGTAGAAACTAAAACCATTCATTTAAACCTTTCGGAATAATCAGGGAAGCATGATGGCTTTGGTGTGGGGGCGCAGCAGAAAATCTTCTCAACCAAAAATAAGGCGCAGTGAACAACCAAACTAGCTCTGCTTGAGAAACTTTGTATTATTAGAAAAAGTAATTACCCCACTCTCCCACTACTTCGCTCTCTCTTTGTGGACAGTTAATTATAAAAAAAATTTTATATAAGAGTTTTAGTCTTTATTCGTTTCTATTGCCTTATATTCGTATTCAATTATACAGCGTTACAACTTTGGTGATAGTAAAACAAACAATACTCACCAGTTGCAAATTGGTGATGCCACATTGAAGCCATAGAATTTTTTTTATAACAAACCTTTGTATGAAAATAAATTTTATTTTTTTTTGTCTCTCCTTTCTAGACTGGCATGTCGCGTTTGAACTATACTCCCGCCACAGATCTCGACTATGGTACAATATCTTGTTGGGGACGAAATTCTATCGGAATGCAAAAAAGCCCTTGTGTTTTTCAAATTGTAGCCGCTGGTAAGTACTGACCAACGTTTTCACATAAACTTATAGATTAACTTATATATATATACCAGGTGTGGTAAAAAGAAATCCATTATTTTTGCATGAAATTGAAGGTTTTAATTTTTTCTTTTCGTAGCCAGCCTTTTTCAAATGGTTCCAAACGGTTTTTTGTGCACTCTTTAGCTCTTGGGCAAACGAAATTGTGCCTGACTGAATCTAAAAATTTCAGGACATAAACACTATTCAGGCATTCAGCCGCCTGGCTTGCGTTTTCGCCCTTATTGAGTAAAAACTATGAATATAGCATATTTTCCTATTCTAGTGTCCATCTTTGATACACCTTCAAACATAACTGAATCAACCAATCATAAATCTGTTAAAATTCCTTTTTAGTACGAAATGTTAACTTTCTTTCAACATTCGACATCTAGCCGAACCCGATCGGTCTTACACAACGCGAGATACAGATAAATAATATCTTCTATTATTCGAAAAATAATGGATTTCTTTTTACTTTACCAAAGTCTTCCGTTCTTTTATTATATTGTATGTATATTTATTCATTCACATATATTTATTTTTTGGTATATTTTTAATTTAACTATTCAATGTGTTTTAAGCCTATGATCAAATAGTCCTCGTATTTTTGAAGGTAAAAAGAAGAAGTACGAGCTGTCTAAGACCATGCCGAAGTATTTATATCTTGAAATAGTCATGTCAAATTAATTCTATTTCATGTTATAATTATATATTTATCTTCAATCTTTATGCATAGGTAAGACTATAGTATAATACCAAATTCCATGAACATCTGAGGGGTTTTTTTGTCATCTTCATGAACAAAAACTCAGTATGAGCATTTGACAAAGAGGACCTATAGCCTCTGGGGGTTCGCTCGGCTTGGTTCTGGCAAATGATTATTATATCGTAGTATAGAATTATATCTACTTGCCAAATTTGGTTAAAATAACTATCAAGTATAGGAACTAGTTCGCGCACAAATCAACTCAGCTCAAAACTCTGAAAATTTTAATATGAATCCATCTCTCCCCCTTCTGGTTCTTACATACTTCGCACTAAAGTTAATATTCCATTTCATGTTCGTAAAAAATCATATTAAAAGGAACTTCTAATTTTCGGATATCGTCAGGATTGAATATTAACACAAAAATTTTAACCATTAAAGTTTGCAAAAATATATATTTTTCATTTCTATTAAAAGTTTTGTTTGTTTTTATATATGCACGTACTCGTATATATATATATATATATATATGTACAATATATATATATTTTATAATTATATATATATTTTATAATTAAATTTTTACTATTATATAATAATTTTCTTACCTCAGGTCGTCCATTTCCATTACAAAATTGCACAGTTACAAATCAATCCACCGATTCTATACAAGTTGACTGCTTGGAGGGATTCGATGGTGGCCTACCCCAGGGTTTCATATTGGAATTGGTTGAATTGAATAACCTGCGCTTGGCACGAAATTTGAGTTTAATGGTATGTATAAAATGAATGAAAAATTTATTACATAACATATGTGAAATCTTAAATGTTAACTCAGTAGAACATATATGTATAAGCAAATAAATTCGAATTTTCGCTTGGTGGCATCAGACCCGCATTTTAAAGATAGGGACTGAATGCGTCAATATATAAGATGGTGTTAAATATTACGCTATTATTTGATAACCAACTCTCAGTAGAGTTGAAATTTAGCAGGTGTATATTTTTTTAATAAATCGTTATAATTAGGGGATTGATTGCCTTTTACGTTTCGGATTTTGGCAACCTTAGTATTACAATCTGGCAAATCGAATCGAAGCCCTATCAAAGAACCCTAGGTGAATCCAATCGAGGTCGTACATCACTTCATAGCGGATATCTTGAAAGTCGATCAAAATCAGTTCTCAGCACAAATTGATATAGCAAGATCGTCACGGGTTCTCAATAAGAATATTTGACGGTAAAGAAAAAATGTTCAAGTTGGATGCCACACAATTTATGATTCACTCAAAAAAGGCTCGTGACATGTGATAAATCGTAGATTTACGCCAATAAGCATGAGAGTAGACAGCCGTCGACTGTGTGAATGTTCAAATATGAGGCGAATAAAAAAAAGCTGTTCGAGGATGAAGCTTGTCTGTATTTTTTTCAGATTAGTAAATTTCGCATAGTATACAACCATTTGTTGCCAATTGTCATTAAAGAAATCAGGAGAACCAGCCGACGAAAATGAATCACCCTCGACCACCATGATGTGAGCTCTCACACCCTGACTGAAAAAACTGACTCATCTATCTTATAGTCTTCACATTCCACTGAATGACTTTTATTTATTCCGTTAAGTAAAAGATAAACTCAGAGGCTTACGTTTTTTGACACCTGAATAGGTAGTTGATGCGTTCAGAACCCCTATTCTGTAGATACCTGCGGAGTGCCGACTTCACCACACAGCCACAGTCGGTATGTCAGCCAGTCGGCAGGTATGAGAGTATAAATTATTTTGTCGAAATTATAGTGCCAGCTCTTTGTGCTCCTTATGCACGCTCGTTAGGTTTGATAAAAGTCTTTCGACAATTAAGTCAAGTGCACGCCAAGATGGATGGATCTTAATGAAGCATTAAAGCGTTTTTAAATGATTAATAATAAATGATTAATAACTGTTTTTGTTCTCTGATTCCGAACATAAAAGCAATCCTTGTATGTAACTAAACCAGTTGTATTTCGAACTTAACAATAACTATGAACTTGAGACTTTCTGTTCAACACTTTTGCAATTAAGGCACTTACTTGGCCACCATCTTCTGAACCAGCAAACGTTATATTTTCCAAAACTTCTTCGTGAACATGACTCAAATAATTATTCTTTAGTGCAAAAATAAATTTCCTTATTCTGTCTAAAGCTTTTAGTAGTTAACTTCTTTGACGAGTTGACATTGCAAATGCAGTGGATTCGTTTGCTAGACTGTGTCATTTAAATGTCAACAGACGTCGAAATCGGCTTTTCACATGCACAAAAAACGCCCTGTGGAAGTGTGTGTAAGCTCCGCAGATACAAACACTTCATTACCCTAAAAGCATATTTGAGAATGCAATCATATTAATTTACATGAAACATATTGTACATATATAGGCAGGAAAACATGTGTATGTGTATGTGATTATATATGTACGTTGTTAGAGAAATATAAATAAAATGAAGAAAAATGCAAAACAGCAACCAGTCGCCGACAAGTTGATTTTTCGCTTTTAATTCTGTTATAAGAAAAACTACAGTGATTTTTTGTTACCTTTGTTTTATTTTTATCTGCGCTACGTTAAGAAAATATTTTGAAATCGCAAGCAAAACTTTGCTTGTGGATAAATTTCGCCAACAAAACAGTAAAGGGTTGCTGTTTGTGACGCCTGCTGGTGCCTGGTTATACTACTATTGTGTTATTTGCCTTCGGTTAGGGGCGCGAGAGAATGTTGTGTTGCGTTATTGTTAAGCTCATATGAGAAACCTTATTGACGTGATTTTTAAGTGGACTTCAGGCGGATTTTATGTGATGTCACATAATAATATTATTTTAAAAAGTTGATATTTTTGTTTCTGCACAATCCACAAGTAGATTTAAAAATTCTATGAAAAATTTATTTGAGAGATTGTGCCAGAAGAAATCTGATAAAGAGATTTAACTTCTACACTCTACTTTACAGAGGTAAATAGCACACAAACTTATAAGAGAAATTAATAGTATAGATTGTAAAAAACATTACAAATGAATTAAAAACTTTATTTTTAGCAGAGGATTATATATATGACTAGCATAGCATTATTTGTCAAATTCGGCGCAGATGATAATGCTGATAGATCATTATCTCAGGTATATTTTCAGCTTCAAAGCTACTTACAAATTATTTTAGGTAATATTCTCTTTTCGCCTACACTCAGCAGCATTCAGGCATGTGTTCAGTCAAAGATCGCTACCATCCCACTCTTACAATGCTTTGATGTGTCGTTATCTATATTGCACTCTCTCTCTACCATAATAATAGCATAAAGTTAACTCGGCAGTAAGGGACAGCAGTGGTCTAACGGTTAGCATTGCGTACTGTCATTCGGAAGACCAACGTTCAAATCTTGGAACGACCAGCATCCAAAAGTTGTAGGAAAATAATTTGTACACTAAATTAAGTTAAATTTTCTAATTGGGGTCGGCCGTCGGCAGAGACTATCAACCCCTCCGAGGCTCTATTTCCAATAGTTTAATTTTCACTCCAGAAACATACTCTGCGGGGTTAACTTTCTCTGTCGAGGAGCGAAAAACTTATTGTCTGAGGGAAATTTCTATAAAACTTAATTAATTGTGTTTTAATTTTTGTTTAAATGGTCTTTAAGTAATCGGTCATACGAAGAAGCATTTTTTAGACTAACACAAGTTCCTTTAAGTATAACTCCAAAAAAAAAAAAATTAGGTGACGAGCACAACGACAAAAAAAGCCAACAAGTAAGCCATCGCAGTGTCTCTTGGAATGTATTTCATATAATGAGTTAGGTGATTTGGCTCTCAGGGAAGAATCACCGACAGATCCATGTACCAAATATCAAGTGAATCGAGCTATAAATACAAATTTTTCGAATAGGACGGTACTTAGTCCACTTCTCAGGAACTAGGCAAACAATCTGACAAAATTACAAATCAATCGGACTGTAACATTTGAAGGTTACTGGATATTTGCAAACGAACATAAGAATCTTATATAATATATGTATATACATAGATTCCGCTTAAAACTATTATGCAAGAGTTTCTGCCGATTATATAATTCCATTACATAAGCAGCTCATTTACTACTCTTTTTCTCTCCTAAGAAACTTCATTTTCGAACTATTCGATCTAAAAAAAAATTTCAGGAAAGTTAAAAAAGGCTGCCCTCGTAAAACTCATAGAAAAGCAAATATATTGTAAATTTTTTTTTTAATTTTTGTATCCTTGCAACTTCCGCAGCTTGTGTACTTTTTATTGTTATTATTTTGCTTTTCTTATAATTTCATTGAGGCAGATAGAAAAACATATATGTATGTATATATTTCTTACCATGCCATAAATAAGCACACATGCACATACGAATATATAAATGTTTACATATGTATAAATGTAAGTAAGTGCATACAATTTCACTGGCATCCCGCGTTATTACAAACTTTTGAATTTATTCAGAACTCGGGAAAAAAGTAATATGGAGGAAAAGTCATTGAAGTAGCGAGCAAAATTTATTTCCCCTTTCTTCGCCAAACACAACAACGCGGCATCCGCTTAAGTCAGCCTCTTCAACGCATGTACTTTTTTCTTGAGCATATATATAAATATATTATATATACATATAGATATATATGGCTCTGCAATTCTGTTCCGCCAACAACTATTGGTGTGCTTGGAGTACAACAACTTCGCAATGCTAACTTTTGAATTTTTTCTGAAACAGCTCTGCTCTGCCCTGGTCGGATCCACTACCAAGTTAAAGAGTTCACCTTAGTTATAGAGTTTTAGTTGTCAACTTGAATTCGTATAATATTTGTATTTGTTGTAGTTGTTTTTACTTATTTTGGGTTTAAATTTTCAACAAACTTTTGTCCTGCTTTGTAATTTGTTGTTGAAGAAAAGTTTTTGCCGTTTAAATGGTGAAATGCTTAATTCCACCTCTTGCTCTTCTTGCCTCGGACTACGAAATACAAAATTCAGTACTCGCATGACCCGAATTATTTTAAGTTTTAAGGCATTACTTTTAAACTTCAGCTTAAAATGTCACAAAAGCTAATTCTATGAGCCGTTAGAAAGCTCTCTCGAAAAATGCTTAAAATTTCATTTTCGTTGCATTACTAACAATTATTTTATATAGATACAGGTGTGGAGATGCGATTAGAAAGAGGGGAAATTATATTAAATATTGGGTTGCCCAAAAAGTAGTTGCCCAAAAAGTAGTTGCGGATTTTTCATATAGTCGGCGTTAACAAATTTTTTATACGGCTTATGACTCTGTAATTGCATTCTTTCTTCTGTCAGTTATCAGTTGTTACTTTTAGCTTGCTTTAGAAAAAAAGTGCGTGAAATTTTGTTTACCTTTTTTTTAGCGTCAATTTTAATATGGAGCCCACAAAGGAGCATTTTCGTCATATTTTACTTTATTATTTCCGTAAAGGAAAAAACGCGGAGCAGGTTGCTAAAAAGTTACAAGATGTGTATGGTGATGAAGCCTTAAAAGGAAGACAGTGTCAAAATTGGTTTCGCCAATGCCGTTCTGGAGATTTTTCACTTAAAGATGAGCCACGTTCAGGTCGGCCAAATGAGGTTGATGATGACCAAATCAAAGCATTAATCGAGTTGGATCGTCATGTAACTGAGCGTGAGATAGGAGAGAAGTTAAATATACCAAAATCAACCGTTCATTATCACATAAAAAGTCTTGGACTGGTGAAAAAGCTTGATATTTGGGTACCACATGTATTGAAAGAAATTCATTTAACACACCGAATGAACGCTTGTGATATGCACCTTAAACGCAATGAATTCGTTCGATTCCGTTTTTAAAACGAATCATAACTGGAGATGAAAAATGGATTGTTTACAACAGCGTTAGTCGAAAACGATCATGGTCCAAGCATGGTGAACCAACTCAAACCACTTCAAAGGCTAAAAGAAGGTTATGCTGTCTGTTTGGTGAGATTGGAAGGGTGTCGTACATTTTGAGCTGCTTCCAAGGAACCAAACGATTAATTCGGATGTTTACTGTCAACAATTGGACAAAGTGAATACAGTCATCAAGGAGAAGCGACCAGAATCGTAAAGGTGTCATATTCCACCAGGACAACGCTAGACCGCACACATCTTTGGTCACTCGCCAAAAACTGAGTGAGCTTGGCTGGGAACTTTTGATGCATCCACCATATAGCCCTGACCTTGCACCATCAGACTACCATTTATTTCGATCTTTGCAGGACTCCTTAAATGGTAAAACTTTCGGCAATGATGAGGCTATAAAATCGCACTTGGTTCAGTTTTTTGCAGATAAAGGCCAGAAGTTCTATGAGCGTGGAATACTAAATTTGTCAGGAAGATGGCAAAAGGTTATCGAACAAAATAACAACTATATATTTGATTAAAGTTCATTCTAAGTTTTATTAAAAACGCATTTACTTTCTTTTAAAAAATCCGCAATTACTTTTCGGGCAACCCAATATATGATCTACTACGAATTTATTATTTATTATATTGCAGGTTTAGCAAATTTTGGTGAATTAATTTAAAAATGTGTCTTTTTGTGTTTTTGAGGGGCCTTTCAGTCATTTCATATCAGATATACACTCGAAGCACTCGACATCCTCTGCCGAAAGGCAACCGCAATTAGAAAAATTAATTTATAAATAATTTTTGATGTATGTTGAACTAGGAATCGTATCCTGGTTTTCCTATAGGCAGGTTGAATACTTTGTTTTTGTTGCTCTCTTTTCATATATCGTCGCAAATTTACGATACAGGGTGAATCTAAGTGTTTCTTCACCTGATTTTCCGAAGGGAGTAAAGATCTTCCAATACCGCTGCTTGCCCCTAAGCGTCCATAAATCTTTCGCACAAATCTACCTCTCTCGATCGAAAGCTATTTGTCTAGGTTCACTGGTTGGCGTCAATGTCAACTACTCTGCACCATTCCCAACCTGAAGAAGTTCTTTATCACATTGTTTGAACTCATTAACTCATTTATTACAGTGAGAACACCAAAATTAGATCTTATGTAGAAATGTGATTGTTTTTGTGCTATAGAAGTTTTTTTTGAAAGCATTGAAGAGCTGGTATGTCGAATCTCTTCTCACGTGTCTTTTCTAAGGCATAGCATATCAGTTTGGTATGTAGACGATAATACCTTCCAATCACTTCGTATGGTCTCAGCCGTACAACTTTTGGTGTTTACAGTCTGTAAGTTATTCGCCGCCAGGTAAGCCAGTGTTGCCATTGTTGTTCTTCACGATAGCCATAACTATCCGGACTTTATTGTAATCGGATAATGGAACATCAGGAAAAGTGTTACCTACATAAGCTCTTTGCTACCTCGTTGTATGTTCCTGTCTATAAGTCGCCGGATTTTCTCATAAAATTTTTGAGATTATCCTGTCGACCACTTTCTTCAGCTTTTTATACCCTTCCATTTCGCTATATTTCCTTCTCTGTCTGCAAATGTGACTCGTTTTCTCTTGAACTCACGGTAACTCTCCCACTCGATGTATTGTGGTCGATCACAACGTTGCTTGTAGGCTGTTTTTCTCTCTTCTCTGCGGTAATACAACCTTCAACGTAACAAATATTCGATAATGTCAAAAATAGTGCACCAAAATATCTTCAAGCGATTCATATTAAAATTATAATATTTATCAAATAATTTTAAAAATTTTATTGCTATTGAAAAATAAAAACTATTCATTTCTCTTTTTACAGCATCCTCCTGTGAGTTTTCTAATAGAAAATCTCGATCCCACAGCCACGTACCGCATGATTATATTCGCCATGAATGCCAAAGGACGTTCAGAGCCAACAATAATCGACGACATAAACTTCAAGGGAGTTGCAAAATTCACAGGTAAGCAAAAGAGTAATAAAGAGCAAGTACATTAAGTGAAAATAAATAGCTACATGTGTGATCACGCTAAGTTTTGGCACACATATTCGTATGTGAACAAAATCCATGCAAGCACTCAAACCTCCGCTAACAAACTATATAATCTATACTAATAAATACACTTGAAGATATATGAAGAAACTTGCAGATTACCATAAAGCACTTTGCTATTTTGTTGTTTTGATATTTTTTTTCTAACGGCTTGCAGCTTTAAAACTTTCCTAATCTAAATAAATGGCCAAATTGTCGTTCTTTTTGTTTTCGTTTTTGTTTTTTTTTGTATATGTATTTTGCACACCACATTGCACAATGCATTACGTGCAACGTACTACTGTAGCAATAATGCATTTACCTGAGAAATGTTGATTTCATTCATTCATTCCTTCATTCATTCTCTTGCACGCTTGACACTTTGCAAAATAGAAATTCATGAGATATTTTAGCAAAAGAAACGGTGTGGAAATGTGAATGCAATGCAATGAACAATGACGATAGGTCACACTGGTACGCCTCGTGTATGTATGTATGTACTCGTTGTATTGTGGTATTTGTCACAATGCATTACTGGTTTAAAATTCCGAAAGTGCAAAAACGTACAGATACATATTACAGGGTGTAGTTTTTCAAATATTTCATTTTCTAAGTGAAATGAAGGCAACTTTTGTGAGATGATTTTACGCTTTTCCTGTATTCTTACAAAAATACCATTCTTTTTTTGTATGTTGGGAGAATGAAAATCACAAATCAACCATTATTTTAGATCAAAAAACTAAAGTAAATAAAATCATGATTATTTTCAGAAACATAAAAAAGTTTTAGATTAGATAATTAAAAATTGAAAAATGCGATTTTGAACCGATTTAAAATAACAGTGCTTACGGTACGAACGTAGATCCTTGTACAACTTCAGACTCTGGAAAACTTGCTTTCTTGAATTTGGGCTTAAATGTTTATTGTTTGCAGTATAAATTACTATCTTAATGTCCAGATCAGATATCTGTTTATTTAATCTGTTTTGCGTCTAAGCATACCTGCTGCATTCAGCGAATTGCGATTTGGGTAAATGTAATTTTTTGATAACGATCCTAGTGCACATAATGAATGCACTTGACATTCCATCACATTGGGTAATTTAATTCTAATATTTATTATTTATTTTTGAAAAGCAGTTTTTTTAAATTTTAAATCCTAATAATGATCTTAGGCTTCTGGAATGCCTTTCATGAAGTTAAGAAAATTTTTTTACCGATCTCTCCATCTCTACGTCTATTTGTAGTCAAACTTCTACCACAGTTTTTTTGAGATATTTCAACCAAGCTACATAAGCAGATGTATTTTATAAAACATTTGTCAGAGTCGCATGGATCGTATCAATATAACATATTGCTCTTTACAGCCATTTGCTAAGACTTGACGTTTTATGTCGAAAGTCCGTCAAAAAGTATCTCAGAGCGGAAAATTTTTATTATCATATGCTCTTTCTCTACAAGTGAACATTGACTCTAAAAATCACCTAAATCAGAGGACTTCATCAATTGCTGACCTGTAAATGATTAGTACCTGATTTAGAATTTGGGGAAAAAAAAACTTTCAAAATAGAATCTGAGAAGGTGAAATTTGGTTTTCTACACGGTATTTTCCCATACAAGCGCTTTTTGCAGATACGAGCATCAACATATAATGCAATAGCCCAAATTTGAGTTGAACACGTAACCGAAAACTGACCGCCTTTCTTGTTTTTCAATATAATAACCTAAAAGAGATTTTATAAAACATGCTTGGATAGAGAAACCACACATTTCGTGTGAAGACTAATGCCAAAGGGTTACCATTGAAGCAATAAATATATAATTTCTTCACCGCTTAAAATAATAGCACCGAATTTTAAAATTTTTTTAAATATTTTTAATATGTTTTGTATAAAAACACATTTGTTTGACGGTTAATTATATTATTATGATTTTTAATGAGCAGTTTTCTGCTTTTATTTCACATTGTTGCCTTGATAGACTATTCGTATGCACAACACTGTTGTTGACGCTATGATGTGCCTCTATTTCTAATACTTCAGTATGGAAGCTTTTTTATCGCAAGAGAATTTAGAGAAACGGAACTACAGTTTCCTTATTGACTTCTCACTTTATTATTAAAATAATATCTAGAGTATAAAATAAGAACCAACATACTTAATCAGTCGAAGAATGCTTAATATATAAATTTATTCTTTATTTTAGCTCGAAAATATTTAAAGTACTCTTTGTATGCTACATATTTCGGTAACTGAGAATAAAGATGGCCTAGTACACAATAGATTTTCTAATTTTAAATCAACCATTTCCTTATTTAAAATTTCCGTTTAGTGTTTTCTGAAAGATTTACGCCTTATTGACAGGAAAATAAATAGTTGGAGTTTTATTTGAAATGTTCTCTTGAATTGTTACCCAGTTTCTACTAACGATTAAATACGCATCCCTTAGATTTCGCTTCCCTAACTCTTCGCTCCCGTTAACTATTTTGCATAATGCAATTTTTATCGATATTTTCATTTGAGTAAAAAGCTAACGGCGCCATCATGCTTTAGATATACTCTAGAGAGTCGGTGCAGCTGCTGGCGTATTCTTCTCATTCTTTATATTTTATTATATTACACTGGTTGCAATATCTTTTCTTGTAAAAAGTGTGTGAACGTATGCGTACCACTGCGGCGTGAATGCATTTACATGCATTGCAAGTATTATGTTGGCTTATTGGAAAATTTAGCATTGGCTTTTATTGTTTAACGTCGCGCGTTGACGCCTAACTTATAGCCAAAACGTTGAACTTTCTATTCTAACGTAAGATATTTGTATGAATGTTTTGAAGCTCCAGTAATTTTATCGTAGCTACACCAAGCACCACACTTCGCAGCAGCTTTTGGTGGGATGAAAAAAGAAAATCGATTCGATCTGCATTTGAGGTTTTTTTTTTAGTTTTACCTACTTTACTCGCGTATTAGTTATAGATTATTGATAATTCTTCAATCCTTCTATGCATGCTTAGACTTCTCTTGCTGACGGTTTGTTCGTTCCTTCTTATAAATTTTTACTAGTTTCTCCAACTTTCCTTTTTTGACTCTTTGCTGGTATTGTTGCTTCACAACTTTCGCACTTTAGTTTCAATTTATATTTTAACACTTGTGCTATGATGTTCTCGACAAGCGTATCTTGCCTGTCCTTTGTGTGTTTTTGAGGTAGCTTGCGTTTATTGCTTTACAAGGTTGTGCATAGTTTTGCAGGTATTTTTTTTTAATACAAAAAATAATGAAACATTTATGAAGACTTACATATATACTCATAACTTGGCAAAAAATAACTAATGTGGAGGCACTAGGAACTTAAAATTATTATGTTTTTTCATTTTATAAATACGACTTTTTTACATTAATAAAATAATAAAATTTACTCACAGCTAAATTTTTTTTCGATAATATATTTCTATATTAATTTATTTTGTTTTATTTTAAATAAGTTATTTTCCGTAATGTTATTTGATTTTATTTCATTTAATTTTTTTTATTTTATTTAATTTTTCAGTTATTTTTTTCTAAATTCATCTAACTTTACTACTCTATTTAAAATTTTTTTATATTATTTTAATTTCATTTTATTTTACTTAATTTTATATTATTTTATTTTATTTGATTTTATTTCACTCTATTTTATTTTATTTTATATTATTTTATTTTATTTTATTTTATTTTATTTTATNAAAGCGAAAATAAATTTAAATGGAATAAACTAAAATAAAACTAATTAAAGTGAAACAAAATTAAATTAAAGGAAATAATAAAAATAAAATAAAAAAGTAGATTTTATTTTTATTATTTCCTTTAATTTAATTTTGTTTCACTTTAATTAGTTTTATTTTAGTTTATTCCATTTAAATTTATTTTCGCTTTAATTTTTTATACAGAATTTTATTAGCTTCATTTTCTTATTTTATATTTTACATTTTTTTATATTACTTTATTTTGTTTTTATTTATTTCGATTCATTGTATTTTTTATAAAATAATTAGAAGAACAAATCGTGATTTTTTAAGAGCTATAGGAAAGTTTAAAGTAATTTTCAATAATAATAATGGAATCTTTATTTGAATTGATGGCACGGTCCATATAATTTAATGTTTGGAAATTATTTCATGCAAATGTTGATGGTGCCTGAGCCTCAAATGGTCCATCCGCTTAGTCCAATTTCGGCATACTCTTTCCAACATTTCGGCCGGTATCTCATGAATAAATGCTTCAATTGAAGCAACCTTGTCTGTATAGACATAAGATTTAACATAGCCCCACTAAAATTTGTCTGAAGGCGTTAAATCGCAAAATCTAGGCGGCCGATTGACCGGTCCCGGTTGACAGGTTGTGCAAGTCAAACTCTTGCATTTTGGGCAAAAAAAAATTCGATATTATCTCAAGTTAGTACTCACCATTCACAGTCACGCTACGATTTGCTTCATCTTTGAAGAAATATGGTCCAGTGAAGGCACCAGTCAAAAATTAGCTTGGTCGCTGAACACAAATTTTCGATGAACTTTCTTAACAGAGCACGTTTTTGGATAAAAAAATTCAATATTTTGAAAGCGTTGTTCGTTTGTAAGATGATTCATGGTTAAATTATAGACCAGACTAAAGATGTTTGACAGTGATACAAAACACGAAACGCGCGTCAGCTGTTTAAACCAGTGTTGCCGAAAAGGTAATAGCTAAAAAATCACCCTTTATTGTTTTTATTGTATTCTTTATTTTTATTTTAAATTTGTATCCATAGCTGCCTCCATAGTTATTTTACTTTTTTAGAGCCAATAGTTATAGCTATTTGAAGTTTTGATGTTACTTCTCTGAAGGTAACATAATAGAGAAGAGAGGTTCCATTCACCAATTATTATCGGGTGCGCTATGGAGTGCTAGTGCATTTTTGTCTTTTGTTCCACTTCAGTTATTTCTGTTTCCACTTCAGCTATTTCTGTTTAGTATTATTTTTTTTCTTTGCAGCTGTAAATAGTTCTTATATGAATTCCTTTCGGTCGTGCCATTGCGAATAGAATATGAAGTTCATAGAATTCTATTGTTTGTTTCCTCCTGCGATTTTTGGCATTGATACCACAAATGTATATGATACGGTGCTCTCTTTTAGGACACGTGCCTACACATGTTTGTATGTAGGTTTGAATATTTTGCAAAAATTAACAGCGAAAAGTGCAATTATGTTTCATTCAAACACGAAATATTTTTCGCCTCGCCGCAACGCGTTAAAACATTTGTGGCGCCACACACCACAGTTTTCGCACCAAAAACTCACACGGCATATGTATACTTGTATATAAACGCTCTGAATTTAGTAGTGGTAGTATTTAGCAAAAACTTTTGCGAGGTGTTAATGCGTATATTGGCTGGCTGTAAATGGCCTAAATAGGTCGACTGTAATGCGCAAACTTTTGTTCATAAAAGTTAAATTGTGTAGTAGTTATCGTTAATTTGGATAGTGTAAAACTGCTTATCTACGCTTATATAGAAAACAATTTTAAATATTCATTTTAAGTGCACAATGCAGGTGCAGAAGAAAAATGGGCGAAAATGTAATTATAATTAGACTTGATGAAGCGAAATACTCGAAGAAGTGAGATGCCATATATTGGGTTGCCCCGAAAGAACCCGGCGATTTTTCATACAGACGGCGTTGACAATTTTTTTTGAACAGCTTGTGACTATTCAAATATATTTTATCTTTAGGCAGTTAAAAGCGGACACTTTTTGCTTTCCGTAAAAATGTGTAATTTGGTTTATACTTGTTTATTTGGAGTCAATTTGAATATGGTTGGATTTCACAAACGAACCTTTTCGCAATATTTTGCTTTATTATTTCCTTAAAGGAAAAAATGCAGCGCAGGTTGCTAACAAATCGCATAATTTGTATGGTGAAAAGGCCTCAGAAGGAGGACGGTGTTGGTTTGTCAAATTCTGTTCGGAAGATTTTTTACTCAAAGATAGGCCACGTTCAGGTCGGCTGCGTGAAGTAGATGATAATGAGATTTCAAGAATATAATCGAAACGAATTGTCATGTAACTGAGCATGACGGTGGAGAGAATTTAATTATACCAAAATCTACTGGTATCATATACGACGTCTTGGACTGGTAAAAAGTGTGATATTTGGGTACCACATGAAAGAAGTTCATTTAACAAGCCGTTTCATAACTGGAGATTAAAACTGTTTTCTTACAACTATACAATTTAAAAACATCCTTCAACGGGAACTGGCCAGAATTGGTCACTCATAAAAGCGTCATATCCAACCAGGACAATGGTGTACCGCACACGTCCTTGGTCACTCTCGAAAAACTGAGAGAGCTTGGCTGGGAAGTGTTGATGCATCACCCATATAGGACTGACCTTCCACCATCAGCATAGGATTTGTTTCGATCTTTGCAGAACTCATTATTTGCAGATAAACGTCAGAAGTCCCATTGGTGTGGAATAATGATGTTTTCGGAACAAAATGAATATTACAAAATTGATTAAAGTTCATGATAAAATTTAAAAGATGTATTTACTATCTTTTAAAAAATCGCCGGTTACTTATATTTATATCGTATATGTTCATATATAAAGTTTACATACTTAGTGTTAATTATCCTTAATTATATCTTGCAAAATTTTATATCTATTTACAGGTGCATCAAATGGCTTGACTGTTCCTCTTTCACCTTTTTTGGCTGGTTTGACGCTTTTCTGTGCTCTGCTCTTTGCCATTTCATGTATTGCTTTGGCTGCGGTTTACAGAAGATTCTCGAACAGGTAAGTGTGTTATAATATGTTTTGTAAGTTTAAAAAATATCATTACAGCTATTTGTAACTAAGCTCTTAATTGGCGGCTCATAACCGCTAAAGTGATTCTTCGTGGAGCTCTTCCTCGTTTTATTCCGAGTGGCGACTGCAATTGATAGAGCCTGGGCTTGATCCCATGAAATTTAAAAATTAAATCGATTTATGTCATCCTGCATATTAAATTTCGAAATATACTATATATTTGAGAAAATTCAATTCATATTGACAGCGCTAAATCATCAACGACCATTATCAAGCTATCAAGGAATATTTTCGCACATTTCCTTTGCCTAATATGCGCACACACATATTTATTTATGTATATTTTCATGCCAATATTTATCAATTTTCTTCCTTATTTTCCAGGCAAAATGATGGTAATTTAAAACCAACGAAGCACACGCAACTTTCAATACCCTCCGATTGTCAGCTAGACCCATTGCAACCGAACAACCACCACCATCAACATTTACAACATAACCATGAGCAAAGTAATCATCAACCACATCATAGCCTATTACAGGGAAACGGCAATGAAGGTGTCAATGGGGGCGGCGGCACATCACCATCAGTCGGTGGTGGCATTGGTAGTGGTGGTGGTATAGGTGGTATGGGCGGCTTGATTGGCTTAGATACATCAACATTGCGGTCAACGGCGAATAGTCATCATCGACAAAGTCCACTTGTAATGGGTGAGGCGTTGGAAGGGGATGACACCGATCCAGATGTTATACCCAATCAATATGGTTAGTGTTATGATGCTATATTGATTTTAGTGTATGAGTGTATATGAATCCGGTTCTGTAGTATTTAATAATATCAGGTTTTGAATAAATACCTACCACTTCCAAATATTTTAATTGAAATAACATAAAATAATAAATAAGTTAAAATAAAAAAAAAATAAAAAAAATGTATGGAATTAAAAAAAAAAAAATTAAAATGTAAAATAAAACAAATTAAAACAAAATAAAATAAAATAAAGTAAAATAAATAAAATAAAATAAAATAAAATAAAATAAAATAAAATAAAATAAAATAAAATAAAATAAAATAAAATAAAATAAAATAAAATAAAATTAAATAAAAAATCATAACAAAATAACATAAAATTAAATTAAATTAAATCAAGTAATATAAAAAGATAACATTAAATAAAATAAATTTAAATTAAATAAAAGAAAATTAAAATAAAATTCCAAATAAAGTAAAATAAGGTTAATTGAAAATGAAATAAAATTAAAAAAAAAAATAAAACAAAAAAAAAATAAAACAAAAAAAAAATTAAATAAAATTAAAAAAAAATTAAATAAAACTTAAATAAATCAAGATTTTAAAATTTATTTTTTTTTGGAAAAATAAACTTAAACTTTAAAATAAATTTGATTAATATTTATTTAAATAAATGAATTTAAATTAAATTATTTTATCAGATCTTACTGCCTTTTTCGAACAGTAGTTGCCATTTTTTCCATTTGTAAAAAATGTATACATTTTATGGCTCCTATTCCTTCTCAAAGTTATTATACCATTTAAAGTACATTATGAAATAAATTAAGTTAAATTAAATTAAAAGAAATGAATTTAATCAACAAAATAAATTTGTTTTGAAAATCTTCTAATAGCCTTCGTATGTTGTGTTATATTATGTTAGATAAATTGTCTTAATTTATTTAAGTTTTAATAAAAGTATTTATTTAGATATTAAACAAAAATATATCAATTGTGCTAATTAGCCGTAGTTTTTCTTTATATCGTTGTATTCTTTTTATTATTATTACACTAATTTAATTAGAAATTAATATTTTATACTCAAAATTGCACAAAGTAGGTCAACTAACTTTTTTGAATTTCATTGGTTACCTCTTAGCGTATACATATATATAATTGTATATATACGTGACCTATATATATAGACTGCTTTCCATTAATGTACTTTAATAACCTTGAAATATTATATATATGTGGCAGAAGTTATTACACCGGTCAACAGGGTTTTGGATTTGAGTCTCATATACTATATTTCGGTTACCACTACACTGAAAACAACTAAACACTTTTATTTGTTTATTTATGTGCAATATAAATATAAATAATTACATTACAAGATCAAAGCAACTAGCAACGGATGCTATCGGTTTGCTTTTGCACTTCTACTCGTCGGTGTAGCATAAGCGTAGATCGTAAAAGAGAGAACGTTATGAATGTGTGGAATCAGATTTTGTGCGTGAGAGCAGAAACCCAAAAAATTCATATTTTTGTTGTTCTGTGCCATACTAAAGTATACAACACCACAACAATAATAAACACTTATATTTACCTTAATTTCAGAAAAACGTCCACTTAAGTCACTGGTGGCCTCGCCCATATTTCGTAGCCCCTCAGCGCGTCTACTACAGCGCGACTATAGCAGTCTTGCGGACACGGAACGCGCTGGTACAATGAGTAGCGGGAGCGTAATTGGGGGCATAACGAACAGCTCCACATTGAGCAGTGCCGATGGCATCTCCAGTCTAGGCTCATTGGTGGGCAACAGCAGTGTTGGTAGTGTTGGTGGCATTGGCGTTGGCAACGAAGTGTTGCACTACACATTTAGGCCAAGCAAACAATTGGTAAGTAAAGAACCAGAAGAGATGATAACCTTTAGTTATTGTGCAAAAATGTACTATCTCACTTATGATATTCGTTAATGTATATTACTCGCAAATATATATCTATATATAGTTATATATAGTATATAGAAAATAACGGAAAGTGCAGTAGATGCAGTCGCATGGAAAGGAGGCAAAAAAAATCCAAAATAAACAGTACGCGTACATAATGCACGGCAAGCCAAGATCATGAAATACACCCACCCATTCATACACACACACACACACACACACACACATATACAGCAATTCAAACCCATCACCATTTTCCCATGCACACTCACTGTTTCACTGTATACTAAACAAATTCGTCATCAGAAACTGCTTCAGGGATTCAAGGGAATTTACGCTACTCTCGTAATGCATGCATTAAAAGCTTTCCACATAGATATAAATATATATGCAAGTACAATTGTATATATACACGTGTACACTCAACCATATCCGTCTCTTCGTCCACTACACACCGCTCAATGCTGCCTTTATTGTGCAGCACTGCAGCTTACGTCACTGCAGTCGCTTTCTCTTCTGTGTGTGTTTGTGCGTAGCTGTGTGCATGCATATTAGTTTCATACAAACAAGTTCGTCATAAAAGCAAAGAAATATGAAAATTTACTGCAAATCAGGACAATGCCAAAGTATGGTTATAAGTATAAATAAATGTGCGAAATATCAAGAATCACGCCCGGAGAGGGAACTTTGTGGTTGTTGGCTAAACGCAAACGAGGAACTGATACAATGCGATGTGACACAATTTTTTGCATTATTTCTTTCGGTTTCTCCTTTGTAGCTACAAGGATAATCGTTCATTGTGTTGTGAGTAAAAGCCATTGCCATGAACCAATTTTTCAGCGGTTCAGCAGCATTTTTGTTTTGATTGCGAATTTAACACTTTAAGTAATTGCGTCTGAGTATTGAAGTATTTATAAGCTTGATGAATTCACGGAAATTTCCAAGGTGGAAAATTGCATCTAATTTGGATCAAATTAAGTTAAAATAACTTAAAAGCTCAAGGACTGCCTATGTGAAGGATTGATCTATAGGCATTTCCTAATATAGGATGGTATTTTCAATACTGAATATTGTGGTGAAAGCGCTAAATACGAATATACGGTGAGGATAATGTTCTAGATGAGATAGATTGAATGTTCGTTATCGAAAACATTAAAACAAAACTTTCTGGAAGTCATATGCGAGCAATCTGTCACTATACATGAGCGAAGCACGGACGTTGGCAAGTTCAGCTGAGTTTGAAACTCTTTAGGAACAACATCGCAATAGAGTGAAGCGAAGTAAACTGTCTGCTGACAGGGGGAAAAACAGCTTAAAAATTGAGGGGTCTTAAGATTTTAAATATAAGTCTTGGTGTTTAGTAAAGGGAACTGTTATTTATTAAGAAATAAATTTATGCTCCTTATACCTGTCAGGAACAAATTCAATTTATGGAATTGCATTTTAGTATTGATTTCTAATTTGTTGTTATTTTCACTATAACACATTTGAGTTATACAAATATTTTAATTTTATTTAAGTGCAATTCTTCTTGTTTATTGTCGTTAAAACCGCTTATGCGACTACAGACGAATCATTTATCTCTTCTTTTCGATATTTGGCAACAGTGGAAATACGAAGTAAAGCGATGTCGCTCTCCACCTGATCCTTCTTCCACCAGCGGGTGCTGCACCGAGTAATTTCATATCAGGAGTACTTTGATTCATCCGAACCACACGACCTACCCAGTGCAACCGCTGTTTCTTGATTCGCTAAACTATGTCAACTTCGTTGTATATCTCGAGCAGCTAATCATTCCATCGGCTGTTGTATTCGCTGTTTCGTACTCGTAGAAGATCAAAAATCTTACGCAAAACCTTTCTCTTGAAAAGCCCTAGCGCCGAATCATCAGAAGTTGTCATCGTTCACCGTGACACCGCACCATATAGCAGGATGGGAACGATAAGCGACTTGTAGAGGTTGGTTTCCGGTCGTCGGGAGGAACTTTACTTTACAATTGCCCACTCATTTCAAAGTAGCGCCTGTTGGTAATAGTGATTCTTCGTTGGATTTCCAGGTTGTCATTATTTTTGGTGCTAAAACTGGTAGCATGATAGACGAAGTTATCGACGACTTCTAAATTAAGACTGTCAACAGTGTCATGGAAGCCAAATCGCGAATGCGACGACTGCTTGTGTGGTGGCAGGAGATTTTTCCTCTCGCCCTGGTTCACTGCCAAATTCATTCGCTGTGCTCTTTATCAACCCTAAAAAATGCAGATATAACGGCGCATTTGTTTTGACCAACAATGTCGAAATCATCGACATATGCCAAAAAAAAAAAGATTGTATCTAGTAAATTCAGCTCTGCAACTCTTATTTTTCACTGCAGTAGCAAGTTGAAAAAATCGCACGGTTAAGGGTCACCCTGTCTGAAACCTAGTTTGGTAAAGAACGGTTCGGAAAGGGTTTTCCCAATTCTCACTTCGCTTCTGGTGTTGTCCAGCGCCAGAAAGAATAATTGTTAAACGTGTTCACATATAACTCTGGTCTCTGCAAGTGTTTCTATGACCAAAATGGTACTAGAATCCGACTTGTTTTTGAAGAAAAAACGAGCACATGTTGCAGTGGGTCGAAATGAAAAAAAAAAAATCAATATTCAATATTTTTTTTTGATAATGCCTGCCATATATTTAGAATATTTTACATAAAATAAAAAACAAAATAAATTACTTTCCGGTCGATCTAAAACTGCAAGAATGACGTTTCTAAGATTTTTCAAAAAATAACATTAATTGTTTTGGCAGGATCCTGAGGGAGATTTTCGTAGAAACACTTAACATTTGGGGAATGCATGGGTCTGAGTCAAAATATTATTTGCATTTATTTTTTATTGATCTAACTACTCATTTGCTTGTGTGGGTCACTTCTTCGCTGTTCAAAATCTCTCACAGAAATGTCAATGTGAATGAATCGAAGGTACCTGAACGCAGCACATGTTGAATTTATATGAACTGTTTGTTACCCCAACATATCTAAACAGGATATTTGCTTTTCTCCACTAATCTCTTTTTTTTTCGATTTTTTTTCAAACTGTCGATGATGAAAGGGATCGTAAAAAAAGTATTTTTTGTATTATGACCAAGTAGAACTGAACTTCATGTCTCTGGTATATTTCCAGCAAATAAAGATATTCCATTTAGACACACCTATATTTTTTGAAATTCATCGATCTGCTTCCCGTAGAAAGAGAGTTTCATGTAAATTAAACCATAAATACAATTTTTTTCGAATAGGTCGGTTCCTAGTGCAGCGAACTGTTTACAGTATTTTAAAAACATCGAACCAAAATAAATTTTTGAATAGGTCAGAACCTGGTTAACTTCCCGAAAACCCCCGATAAACCTTTCCAGGAGTCATTAAAGCAGTCTGATAAAATTTTAAGCCATTCGATGGGTACATTTTCGAGATATGCGGATCTTTACAAACGAACGTGAGATTTTATATATTTATAATATAAGATATAAATAATACATATTTGAAAATATTTACATTTAAGATTAAGATATAAATTAACTTTCATATTACTTTGAAAAATGTAACAATTTTCTAACAATACAAAAATTTTCTTCATCTTCTTCTTTCTCTTCCATATTCACATAAATTCTTTATTCATGAAACACCATGCTTTCCTTTCGCCAACGCACTACGCTTTACCTTTACCGCCACCAAACTCGACGACTCGTGATGGGCATACACCATAAATAATTTCATCCTGTCTACACGTATGCCCATATGTGCGTATGTAAATATAACCATCGACTATATATAGAGTTATGCAACATTAAATAAGAAGGGTATAACAACATGTAGTCCACCGCTAAATATATCACTATATAATACAACAACGACAACATCATCATCACTCTCATCCACATATCATTCGACGCCACAACCGCAACCAATGGAAGTAAGTTTACTCAGTCCGAATAATCCATCGGTGACGTCATCGCTGAGCGAATATCGATTTCGACCGGAAGTGGTAACCACATCGAATCGCATACAGGAAAGTTGTATATAAATAAATGTAAAATTTATAAATATTTAAAAAAAATGGAGAAAAAACAACAGCAACAAAAAAAAAACAACAAATACAAAGAATATTACAATACTAATAATAACAAGTGCATAAAAATGTGTAAAAATGCAAGGCGAGTATGTATGTATGTCATCGTGTGTATGTTGTAATTTTTTTGTATAAATATGGTGTATAACGAGGATGATGATGACGATGATGATGATACTGATGACGATGATGCACTAAAAATAGACTGATGTAAATTTAACATTTTCTTCGTTATTTATTATTTTTTTTAAATAAGTGTTTTTCCTTTTAACTGCTATTTTAAATTTATGAAAAACTACATGTACACGTTTGTATGCTATAAGCACATATATACATATACATATACTTACATTTAAAGATTTTTTTTAGTAAATTCAAATTCGAGTTTGTTTGTATGTAAAGGGTGTACGAAAATTAACGTAAGATTGAAGTTGACTAGAAAACAAAGTTTTAAAGTCTTTCGATAGTAATCTTTTTATGGAACCATAAGGTGTATACATATATATATATATATTTGTATATTTGGCACTTTGCAACCGCTGAAGTGGATTTCGACCAAGCTCCTTCTCCAATTTGTGATTCATCTTCTTAATGTTTTCAACAAACTTAGTGCTTTACAGAAAAACACTCGGAGTGATTGGAATTCCCTGCCGAGAGGTAATCGCAATTAGAAAAATTAATTTTCTATAATTTTAGATGTTGGTCGAACCAGACTCGAACCACCATTAACTACAAAACACAAGTTTATTTATGGTACAACACATCGGTCAAAAGGATTGCACAGCTTTCCAAACACATACGCTCCTGGTTGAAATTTTCCTTGACTATTCCACATATACATATGTTGAATATCCTTTTCTAAAGCATGCATATCTGTGGGCTTTTGGCTATATACGTGTGATTTTAAATATGTCCATAAAATAATCAGATGACATTAAATCGCTTGATTCGGATACCAGGTTGCGATTACCAAAACGAGAGATTACATGACCAGGAAATGTCTCTTGTACTAACTGTAGTATTTCACGTATTGTACGACATGTGACACCGTCTCGTTAAAACAACATATTAGCCAGCCACATCAATATCATCCAATTTGTGCAAATAGAACTGGATTATCGTATCATACCTAAAGCCCAAAATCCACATCAATCAGTGACAAGTTGTGGATGTATTTGTAGTTGTTTTCGACAATAATTCGTTGTTTTATCACAATCCTTAATCCGACAATTTTTGTCGATTAATCAAACTTTGCAGCTGAAAATGTACTTCATTGTTTGAGCTAATTTTCCTCTTGAGACCTGTATCTTGTATTGTATTTGTCGATGCTTAATAATCCCTTCAACAAACTCTCATGGCTGTTCATGGTCATTAAGCTTCCGTTGTAGTTTTAATTGAACATTTTAGGCATGGATACATGGATCTTTAGTCAGTATACATGTGCAGAGAGCGTCTTGAAATTTACAGTTCCTGAGATTCCTCGATTATCACCAACACTCTCACATACTGCTGGGAAATTGTCGACTGAATGATATGTTTTTAACAGCCAGTGAGTTTGGCGTCTCCAACAGATCATGTGCTCCGGAATGTTTCAATTAATCTCTTCACGGTTGACGACTATTTTTGTGTGAATCATTCGAAGCTTTCGATATTTTTTAAATATTGCTCAATAAGGATGACACGTTGCTCCATTTTCACTTAAATTCTCAGTTATTGATTTGTTTTTTAGGGTTGTCAACCCTTTAAAATATAATTTGCGCCAAATTTAAGTCTTGCATTAGTTTTGGAACACCCTTGTGTGTGTACAATTGTTTATTTAAGTTTGCAATGTGGCTGTTGTTACAACAAATGAGCAGCCTACTCGACGACGAAATAAATATCGTTATTTTTGCAATAAATATTTTCCGCCTTTAAATGGCATATAAATGTGAAATTGGTGAGAAAATTTTTACATTTCGAATTGGAAAAATTTTAAAAATACGCAAAAAGCAGAAAATTAGCTTTGATTTTATTGTTTTTTTTTTTTGTTTTGTCTTCCAAATAGATAGATATTTTCAATGCCACAACAATAATGCGCGCTTTTATGTTTCGTTCAATTTCAAGTTCCATTGAAATACATTTAGTGATTTGCTAAGTTTGCATATTTTGATTTTGTTATACAAATTAATGTTTTGAGCTTAATTATTTCAACCGAAAAATACTCAAACGAAAACCTCATTTCATAAGCATATAGTAATTATGCTCCGAATGATTGATGTTCCAAATGTCAAAAAATTTCTATAAATATTTTTTTTTGAAAAATTACAATAATAACAAAAAATGCATGCAAAAAAGCAACCATCATATAACATAATTAGTAAATTTTATGAAATTGGCCGTCAGCCAGAAAAGTATGGAAATGTAAAATACGTATTACAAAAAAAGGGTGATTTTTTAAGAGCAATAGGAAATTTATTCAAAAAAAAATATATATTATTTATTTAAGTCGATATTATGGTCCATATTATTAAAAGTTTGGAGATTATTTTTCGCAAATGTTGACCGCGACTGCGCCTCAAATGGTCCATCCGCTTAGTCTAATTTTAGCACACTCTCTCCACCATTTCGGTCAGTATCTCATGAATAAATGCTTCAATGTCCTGCAATAAGTCAACTGAAGCGGACTTGTCTGTATAGACATTAGATTTAACGTAGCCCCTGTAAAAAATAGTCTTAAAGCGCTAAATCTCACGATCTTGGCGGTCAATTGACCCGTCCCGAAAGTAAAATAAAATGTTCACCGAACTCACGTCTCAATAAGTCTATTGTTACGCGTGCTGTGTGGCATGTGGCACCGTCTTGTTGAAACCACATGTTATGCCAGTCAATCTCTTGCATTTTCGGCAGTAAAAGGTTTGATATCATTTCACAGTAGCGCTCACCATTTACCGTTACGTTTCGATTCGCATCATCTTTGAAGAAGTAAGGTCCAATGAAGCTATCAGCCCACAAGGCGTACCGTAATACGTCTGGGTGATCTTCACTCCAAACTCGGCAATACTGCTTATTTACGCACCCATTAAGTCCGCAAATGAGCTTCTTCACTGAACATATGATTTTTTTCTTTTCTTTTTTTTTTTGAACTCTCTTAACAGAGCACGCATTTTGATGAAAGAATTCAATAATTTGCAAGCGTTGTTGGTTTGTGATACAAAACACGAAACGTGTGTTAGCAGCTTAAGCCCATGTTGCCAAAAAGATAATAGCTAAAAAATCACCCTTTAATTTCAACAATTTTTCTCACCAGTCGTATGAATTCCTGAGCTTTATATTAAATCAAATATCAAATTTTTATAACGATATGTCAATTTTTTCAGTTTCTGTATGCGCACAAAAATTAAAATGCTTAGACAGATATATTTTATGAAACCCAGTTCGCCTAACTTAGATTCAAATATTAAATTTGTAAAAACAACAATGTGCATATCACTTCTGAAATATAACGAAGCGACTAGTAACAAAATTGCAGGGTACCATTATTGTTTGTTACATATCAAGCTATGCTTATTTATGCATTTAATATAGAGAGCAAATGCCGCCTTCTAATTGATGCCCTGTCGACGCTGGCTTAACTGCTAACATGCATGTTAATTACTGTTCATATGTGCTTATGGTATAAATGTTTGTATGTATACATGTATATGAATATGCAGTACTATTTATAATTATAGCGATAATTGATTTTTTTTTGTTTTTTTTTTGTTTGTACTAAAAAACTCTTAATTAAAATGAAATGAAAAACGCACTGTCAGTTTGCATTTTACGCTGCTAAGCATTTCAATTAAATTATAAATAAATTAACAAATAACAAATTCATAGAAAATAAATACAGAAATAAATTTCTAAAAACTGAGCAGAGCAAATTTATATACTTGTAACCATAAAATGAGAGAGAATATATAAAATGTCAGCAGCACATATACAGACATTCGAAATATAAAAAAACATAACTTTATTACAGTGTTTACCAAGGAATTTACAACATAATATGTTATAACTCCAACGCATATCCATACAAACTCTTTTTCACCATAATTTCATATCAACCAAAACTGCCATGCATATCAGCCACAAACAGTACACAGACAATATACATTTCCATGACATTTAATTGTATTTAATATATTTTGATCAAATTAATTGTTTACGTATATGCTGTACATAATTATTATTTATTTTGTCATACCATATCATTGTCATGTCAATCTACTATCTATATATAATTCCAAAATCACCTTTTAAGAGAGAAAGTTTTAAGTACTAATTTTTTTTGAAAATTAGTTTTCCTTCGAAACAAAATCAATAGTGTACAGATTCTTATTCTTAGTAGTAATATTATTTTTCTCACAAATCAGTAGGGCTTGAATTAAGGTAAAATAAACGATTTATGTTAAAAGTTCTAATAATAAACTCGATGAATACCCTCCACCCATAGGCGTCACGTTGGCGAGTCATGATTGACAGGAGTTTATTAAATGTTGAGATATAAAGTTGTTCAAGTGCAAAAAAATTTCGTAATTTAGGAGTCTTAGAATTTAATAGTTGACACAAGCAAGATTAGCTTTTTGATGCGAGATAGTGAGTGTAGGACATTAAAGGTACTGGAAAGAAGTTTTGAAATAGTGTCACAATGGTTGAAATGGTTCATTCAAATCAAAGCTTGTTTTTTGATCGTTAATAGTAAAAGCCTAAACTGTCCATAAACACAAGTTTACACAGTTTACCGCGAGCAACAGCCATCAGAAGTTTGACTACGAATTTGTGATTTGAATTTTTTAATTTTACTCCTTTTTTTGTTGAATAAAAGTTTCTGGCTTTGATTGTAGCATATTGATTTATATTTAATGTATACACATATGTATGTATGTAATTGCAATTTTGGAAGAAATACTATTAATCATATAATAAAATTAAAAATATCACTGATACGCCCCAGCATGTAGA